GATTGAGTTTGTTTAGAGACCACACTGATATGAATTAGGAATTTAGGGTATACTACTATATAGCTAAGGGTCCTCAAAAATTTATGTGCTATCAGGAACCACAGCCATGTCTGGCCAAATTTTAGAGTTTTTCTCAATAGAGAGTTACAAAATCTATTGGAAAGGTCCAGTATTAATATCTATCTGGAGACTGCTGAAAACAAATGGCTCTTTAGTTCTTGGTAAGAACAGAGAATACTGGGCCAGATTTCTGGCCCTTAAGAAATGTGGCGTCTGATTCCATTTGGCAGGAAGTTTAATCTGGTATGGAACTTTAGCCAGACTTCTTAGAGAAATATTTTTTTAAATGTAACACATCCAAAACTTATTGCAAGAAGTGGTGTCCATTTAGTCTATTTATTCTATTAATAGTCATTTAAATACTTTGTAAATATTCACAGTACTGTTTTCAGCAGCATGTAATAAATGCTTGACCTTTTGGTTCCTGGATGTGTGGCCATAAACTTTTATGTAAAATAGGGGGAAGTTCATTGTAGTCTGCTGTTTATTTAAATTGCAAGCAGAGAAGCAGTAAGTGCTACAGTTTCCTAACCAACTACTAAACAGTAAGTTTTCTTTTTCCTTGCAAGTTATTGTATAATTTGCTTTTAAGAATATGGCATCTTCTGTAGTATACAGAACACTTGGTTCAAGATGAAACACCTCATTTAGAACAGGAATATATGGAAAAGAATTTCAGACAGGAAGGCAGAGCAGTATAAGAGAAAGGTTGACTTAGGCAGACTGAAAGGAGCCTTCTACTTGGCAAAATGATACCTAAAGGCAGGGCGTGATAACAGTTCACAAATATTTGAAAGATGGAAAGACCAACGGGGAGGAGGTTATTTTGCTTACTTATTAGAAATAATGGAAAGAAATATAGAAGGGAAATTTCAGACAGAATCAGTTGAATTTCCTGACAGTAAAAACTGGTCATGAAAGGACTGAAAACTCCAACCACAGAGAAGTTCCTAAACAAATCTGGCAAATCAGAGCATTTCATTATGGAAGATGTACCTTAACAGTGGCAGAAAAAGCATCTGAACGGGAGATAATATTTTATTAACAGTCACTGTTTTGAGGATTTCTCCTCTTTCCATTTTTCAAAATATTTCTTCTGTGTATCAGAAAGAAGACTTTGACATGTTTTTATATTTAGTTGCATATACCCTGACTTATTAGATATCTTCAGAAGAAACAGAAGGAAATGAGTATTCAGAAGCTTTTAAATTTCCACAGTGTAAAAGTAGCCTCACTTTTTGTTTGTTCTTTTTTTTTTCTTTTTAGTTTGCATTTTATTTAGCTTAAGTTAGTAGATCTGAAAGCCAAAAGGTAGCTGCAGTATAAGAGACAACTCTCACTGGAGTTGCGACCTGAAGGCCCAAGTTTGAATTCTGGCTCAAGTACATACTCATTAGCTGGTCACCTGAGCAAGTTACTTATCCCCGCTGAGCATCAATTTCCTAAAACTTGGAAATTTTAGGAATAAAAGGGGACAATAATCTCATCATGCTTGGGAAGATTAGGTGAAATGATGTGTGGGAGAATTCTGTTGTAGTATGAACCAGTTTTAGTTCTGTATGTGTTAGGTTTTTATTGCACTGTGACACATTACCACTAACTTAGTGGCTTAACTTGACACATATTTATTATCCCACAATTCTGTAGCTCAGAAGTCTGGGTGGGTTCAGCTGGTTTCTCTGCTCCAGGTCTCATCAGGCAGAAGCCAAGGTGTTGGCTCCCCTGAGCTCTCATCTGGAGGTTCTGGGAGAGGATCTGCTTCCATGCTCATTCAGGATGTTGGCAGAATTTGGCTGCATGTTGCTGTGGAACTGAAGTACCCGTATCTGTGCTGGCAGCCTGGGATTGTTCTCAGCTTCTAGAGGCTGCCTACATTCCCTTCATCTCTAAAGTTAGTCAAGTCCTCCCATTTCAGGTCTCTTTGATCTCCCCTTCTGCCTCACCTCCTTCCTCCAGCCAGGAAAATTCTCTGCTTTTAAGAGCTCATGTGATTAGGTTAGAATCACCTGGTTAATCCAGGATAATCTCCCTATTTTAAGGTCTATAACTTTAAAACACACCTGCAAAGTCCTTTTTGTCATATAATGTAACTATTTACAGGCTCTAGGGATTAGCGTATGGACATCCTTAGTGGTTCATTCTGCCTACTACAATGATCCTATTTTAGGGCTAGAAAGGACAGAACATGAAATGAGGTTCTTGCCCTGGAGGGTTCACAATCCAGGGGGAAAGAGATGAGAAACATAATATTCAGCAAGAAAAGTCCAATAATAAAGAGTTTGCATGGAATGTTATAGGACCGCAGAAGACTTTTTCTGTACCTGACTTGGCCTGTGGTATTTTCCATCATTCCCTGCTTGTCCTTTGATGTTTTTTTAATTAAGATCCTTCAGATGGAATCCATATATACAGAAACACCATGCAATTTGATTTCTAAATGTCCAGAAAATTAAGCCGCTGTGATAGATCAGTATTTACTTTGCTACTTAATAAGGAAAGATCTAGAGGTTTTGAGTAAGAGGCGTTATTTTCTTCTCTGATGATGAAGTAATGTAACACCACTTTATCTCCCCTTACCTTGGTCCTGATTGCCTCTTTGTCCTCATCAGCTCCATCTTGAGAGCCTTCTAGTCCTTCATTCCCAGCTCCCTCTGCCCCATGTACATCTTACTCCTCCCTTCTTTCGAGTTTTCTTGTTTCGTATTGTCTTGAAGTAGAAGACACTTATGCAGGGCCATGTGGAGGTTTCTGTTTAATCCTTGCCACTTGTCCTTCCTGCTTTAACAATATTTCCTGGATGTTTAGTCATATCTCAGTGATACTTTTGTAATAATATCAGCTGCCATTTATGGAATGCTGACCATGTGCCAAAAGCTGTGCAGAGTACTGTACTTCCATCTTCTCTTTTAATTTAGACATTCTGTGAGGTATAGGTAATATCTTCATTTGAACCCAGCTGGGATTTGAACTCAGATCCAAATCCAAAGCCTTTACTTGACACCAGACACTACAGGAATAGCAGGAGCTGGAAAGACGGGCAGCATGAAGGCACCAAAGCAGCAGAAGCAGATTCGGAAAACTCAAGTCTCAAATTCCACTCCGTCTTTACAGCCCTTGTGCGGGTTAGAGGATCTGCTTCTGGAACACCAGGATTGTCTCCATTTTCCACTGGAAACACTTAGAGTGGTTCAGACAGGTGATCTGAGCTTGTGCCTACAGCACTGGGTCGCCACAGAGCCTGTGTGAGCCCTGGCTTGGCATCTCACTGAAGAGCCTACTTCTCTGAGGGGAGGGGATGGGGTAGGTGGGGCATGTGGTGTGTCCTGTGGCTGGAGAATACCTTCCCTACCAGGCTGCAATGATTAAAATCTTCACGAATTTAACACAGTAGGCACTCAGCATATGTGCTGGTTCTCAAGTCCTTCAAGAAGGCTGTCTTTAGTTGATGTGTATTCAAACAGTAGAATCTTGCTTTTCTAGCTCCACTTGAATCCAGACTTAATGTTGAGAAGACATGAGATGCAACTCTGTGTTGGCTCCTGTCCAATCCTGTGAATCATACCAACTCTCATAAGTTTAAGCTCAGAGAGAACTGGAATTTGAGGCCAAAGAAGGCAAAAATATTTCCCTTTCCCATTCTTGAGTTCTTGATGTAATGGAAACAGACAGTCCTGGATTCAAATCCAGGCTCTGCACTTACCTGCTAAGTTACCTGCTGATCTCCATCATGGAAAGACCTCCAGTTATGGGGCAAAGTACACCTGGCCATTTTATGCAATCATTTATCCTTTCTAACGATGTCTCTGTATCTGCCAACAGAGGCAATAGCAGTTCTTGTCTTACAGGGTTGTTAAGGTTAGAGAGTAATGCATGTGGTACAATCAGGATCCAGTAGCAGCCGCAGTGAAAGCTCTGGAGCCTTTACATGAGCTGTTCATTCATTCAGGGCTCTGGAAATTGAAGTTGAACAAGTAGTCCCAAGTTTGAGTTACTTATCCTTTCCCCTCTGCAGCAGGAGGGCAGCCAGGTAAGGTAGCGGTGGGTGCTCTGCCACAGGCCAGAGCAGGTATGGGGGAGAGCCTTGCTAGGCAGTGGAAGGGCCAAGTACCACCTAACCCAGCCCGATCGTATTCTACCGCCAAAGACCCTGGCGCCAAACAGTGTTGCTTCAGCTGCTAGTAGTTAATACTCCTTGACTTGGAAACGTCCTCAGCTCCTGGGAGCAGTATGGTGCCACGAGGGCTCACTGCTCATCCCCTTAGTCTCTCTGCGACTGGGATTCCCAGGCACCCTACTCTCAGCCCAATTTATCGTCCTTCAAGGCTCACCAGGCTGTGGGCGCAGGGCCTGGGTGTGGGGGTGGAGGGTTGTCGGGGGGGGGGAATTTTCCGGGAAGTGGCACAGCAGTGCCTTGGCTCGCTGCCCAGTTAGCCACGGCCCAGGACCCCAAGGTAGGAGAGTGAACGGAAAGGTACTCTTGCCTGGAGCGGTTGCAAAATCCTCTGCGGGGAGGGAGGCAGAACTCAGACGCACTTGGTGGAAGGGGCCCTCTCTCCCGCCCGCCCTTCAGGTGCTGGGGCCTGGAGGGGGTCCGGTTCCACTTGGGAAAGCTGGGAACTAGGAAGCGTCGCGGGCTAGGCACCCCGCCTTCCCAGTCTCCTAGAGAGGGGTGGGGGCGTGGTACGGGGGCCCCGCCAGGGCGGAGAGGGGTGAGGGGTCTGTGCGGCGCCTCTTCCTCCGGGGGAAGTGGGGCTCAGACCGGTCCAACGCTGGGAGGGGCAGGCCCTCCCCGGCCCGCGCCTGCCGGGACCCTACGCCTGTGTCCGGAGGAGGCCGGCGTCCAGCAGATGCACGCGGGGGGGTGGGGGCGGGGGAGAGGCGGGGAGGAGAGAACCCACAACAAAACTTGCGTCGGTCGCCGAGCGCACTGCTCGACTTGAATGGAAGGAGCCCACGCCCGCGGAGCGCAGCCGAGACTCTGGAGAGCGCGGTCGGCCGGCGGGGCGCAGCAGGTACCGGGCGCAGGCGGCCGGGTGGGCCGAGGGCCGGGACCTGGCTGGGCAGCGGACTCGGACTTCCCGCCCTTGTGCGGTGGCCCCAGCAGCTGGCCAGGCGGGGCCACGCATCTCGCCCCCTCAGTCAGAGCCCTACACGGAGGGCGCAGCCGAAGAGATCTGCCTCAGGGGGCGCGACCCTCCGCGATCCCGACCCGGCAGGGCCCTGTTCTCATCTCCGGCGGGAGGCTGGTCCCAGCCCCGGCCCCTCCCGCTGCGCACATCTGGAAAGAATCTGTGGGCGGATGGGAGGGGGGAGTGGAAGGACGCGGGCAGGCGACAGGGAACGCAGGGGGCAGGTGGAACCCGGGAGGGTAGAGTCCTGTACTTGGAGCCTGATCGCTGAGCATGCCCGTGTTTTTCCACGTCAGATCATCCCAGGTAGCCCACTCTTCGACCCCTTTACAGACAGAGAAACTGAGGCCTGTAGCGGGGCAGAGATCTGCTCCGAGGACGCGCGGACAGGTGAGGCGGAGCCCGCGCGTCCCTGTCCCAACCCGCTCTGGGCTTGGCTTCTCAGCCCCGCGCCGCGCAGTCGCGGAGCCAGAGCTCTCAGCTGGGGCCCTGGTGTCTGTCTGTCTATCCGGGTGCCTCCCCGTTGGGACCGCGGGACTGAGAAGGGGGTTGGGGGATAGCGGCGGAGTGCAGAGTCAGGGGCGAGTCCGGCGCGCCCCCGCGGAGGCGCTCAAAGCTCCCAGGCTGCAGGACCTTAAACCTCCAGGCTGGCCTGGGCGGGGGATGCGATCCGGCATTAGAATACCTGATGCGCCGTCAGGTGGAAGAGGGGCTGGCGGCGAGCTGCTGGTGGCCTCCGGGGCTGGGGCTGAGCGGTAGTTGCAGCCTGAAGTTCAGGAGAGGAGCAGACGCAAGCGTGCTTGCGGCAATGATCGTCCGGATCCGAGTCTGGGATGCACAGAAGGATGCGCACCCTGCACCTTGCAGAGCATCACGGAAAGATGGAGGGCCACACAAACTGGAGAGTCTACCCTTGGACTTCAGGCTGGTCCTGGAAAGTGATGCTGTGGTCAACCCAGCTACAGAAGGCCCCACTGGGAGCCCCTGGGAGGTCATGTCCCCTTTTAGGGTCCAGGGCCAGCCTATTCAAGTTAAGAAATGTCAGATTCACATGAATGCTTTCATGAAATCTTGAGGGAGCATCTTTGTCCCTTCTATCTGAATCTTGGGACAGGGGTGACTTAATGGTTTCACCTTTAGGCCTGGTAGAGTCCTGTATAAGAGCTCTGACCATGATCTGCTTAGAACCCTTGATAGCTCCCTATCAGCAACCCTTTAAATGCCTGATGCCCTTGGAAACTTGACTCTCCCTTTCCTGTTTACCCTTCCTTAAACACACCTCCCTCTTTACCCTCTGCACATTGTGCCTTTGCTCATGGCTTGCCCTCTGCCTTGAGTGCCGTTTCCTCCCCTTCATCCACCAGGAGAATTCCCTACTCAGTCTTCAGGACCGGCCCAAAGCTCTGAGCAGGAGTCAGAAGACACAAAATCTAATCCTGGCCTTGCCTTTAAAACACTAATCAGTAAACTGAGAAAATCAGACAGATAATAATATTGTAGATCTTTCCAACTCTGCCTTTCACAAACACATTCCTTCATTCAGCAAACATTTCCTGAGCACCTGCTCCTTGCCTAGGGAGTCAGGGAAAGCTCAGCTGAGCCCTGAAGGGAGCTGCGGGAGCATCACAGAACTCCCTAACCCAGCAGGAGCGGCTTCCCAAGGCAAAGGCATTAGAGTAGCAGCTTGCTGGGGATGGGCAGCAGTGGGAGCTTCTTTGTGCTTTAGCTTTCTCCTCTGCAAAGTAGGAAGACTAACTCTTAGTCTTGGGATTCCTGTTGTGGTCAGTAAGATACAGCTGTTGGGGCCTAGCACAGAGCAGATGCTCAGCAGATCTTTACTGAATTTGAGTGGAGGAGGGAGGTGGTGCTGGGCTGAGGATTGACCTCCTGATTTGGATCTCCCTTCACCTTCCTTCTTCTAGTCCTGCCTTAACCCCTCATTTAAGCAGTTCTGGGCCTTAAGGTTTGGTTCCGGGGGGGTGGGGGTGGGTAGGGGTGGGTGGGTGACAGTGGGTTCCAGCTATTTTCACAGTAACAGTAACCCCTAGTATGTTGCACTTGCTGGGTGCCAGCATCAGCTGGGCACGTCTTTTCACTGACTCCTCATGAGGAGCTCTTATCTCATTGTCTAGACTAGTAAACAGAGGCTCAGAGCACTGAAGCGACTCATCCAGGTTCACACAGCAGTTCAAATTGGAATAACTCCCACAGACTGAACTGTCCCTCTCGCCCAACAGTGTGAGCTCTGCTCATCAGGACAGCTCACTCTGGGGACTTCCAAAGCCTCGAAAGGCTGTTCTTCCACACACAGCTCCAACATGGCTCAGCACAAAAGAGGGACTTGGGGGCTTATCTTGCTCCACATTCTTAGAGAGACAAAACAAAAAAATTGAGACTCAGATGGGTCAGTGATGTCACCAAAGTCAAAAGCAAATGAGGTGGTGGAACTGGAGCTACCCAGGATCCCAAGGCCCTGAGGGTGGCTGGCCAAGCTGGAAGAAGGGGGACCCAGAACTGGGGCCACCACTCTCCAAGCCCTGTCTGTTACTGCTCCCACTCCCTTGAAACCACCTCTTCCTCTCCATCCTGCAGTTCAGCAGCTCCTTCCGCCTAGACCAGTCTTATTACCCCTTGCCTGCAACACTGCACAGCCTCTGTGAGCTCCCCGCTGGTCCCTCCATAAGCCTGCCTATGCCACACTCCAGTTCTTCAATAACCTCTCATCTCTCCAAAGATAAGGGATACTCTTCCTAATCTAGCTTTTGACTTTTTTCTTGGCTTGGACCATGGCCATTGCCCAGTCCTCCAACCCCCACCAGACACTCTAGTGAGCTTTGTAGAGGTCACATGGGTGCTCTTGCCCCAGGGCCTTTGCACACACTGATGCCCTTGCTTGTATCACCCATTTCCTTTTGCCTGATAGTCATCCTTCATGGCTAGATAAAGCATTGCTTTTTCTTGAAGTCTTCTTGGCCTCAGACATACTTAGGCCTCCTCTGGGCCCCTGTGGACTCTAGGTTCCCTCTATCACACCTCTGATGACAGTGGTATTATAATACTCAATTTACACAAAATGTCTAGACCAGTGCTGACCAACAGAAATATGAGAACCACCAATGTAAGCCGTGTGTGTGACATAAAATTTTCTAGAAGTCATGTTAAAAAGAGTAAAATGAAACAGGCAAAGCATTTTTTAAAAAGTAATTAATTTATTTTTAACTGGAGGATAATTGCCTTACAATATTGTATTAGTTTCTGCCATATAGCAACATGAATCAGCCATAGTTATAAATATGTGCCTTCCCTCTTCAACCTCCCTCCCACCTCCCATCCTGTCCCACCCCTCTAGGTAGTCACAGAGAACTGGGTTCGAGCTCCCTGCGTCATATAACAAATTCCCACCCTGACATCTATTTTACATATGATATTGTATATGTTTCAATGCTACTCTCTCTATTCATCCCATCCTCTCCTTCCCCCACAGTGTCCACAAGTTTGTTCTCTATGCCTGCATCTCCGTTCAGTTCAGTTCAGTTCTGTTCTGTTGCTCAGTCATGTCTGACTTTTTGCGACCCCATGAACCGCAGCACGCCAGGCCTCCCTGTCCAACACCAACTCCCGGAGTTCACCCAAACCCATGTCCATTGAGTCGGCGATGCCATCCAACCATCTCATCCTCTGTCATCCCCTTCTCCTCCTGCCCTCAATCTTTCCCAGTGTCAGGGTCTTTTCCAATGAGTCAGCTCTTCATATCAGGTGGCCAAAGTATTGGAGTTTCAGCTTCAACATCAGTCCTTCAATGAACACCCAGGACTGATCTCCTTTAGGATGGACTGGTTGGATCGCCTTGCAGTCCAAGGGACTCTCCATTACTATCCTGCAAATAGGTTCATCAGTACCATCTTTCTAGATTCTATATATATGTGTTAATATATGATAGAAACAGGCAAAATTTTAATAATTTAGCTCAAAATATGCAAAATATTGTCACATAATACTATAAAAAATAAATGAGATATTTTATGTTATTAATATTAATGAGATATTTTACATTTTTTGTAGTTTGAAATCCATATATATTACATTTTATACTTATAGCACCTCTCAATTTAGTGTAGCCACATTTCAAGTACTGTTAGCCACACGCAGCCACTATATTGAGCAGTACCCATATGAGGTTTTTAAGGGCAGCAGCCATACCTGAGTCACTTGTTTGGGTCCTCAGTGCCCAGCTGTGCTTGGCCCAGGGAAGGGCTCCATGGCTTTGTGGTTAAGACCCAGGCTGGGAACTTGGCCTTGCCACTTAACAGCTGTGTTATATTGGCCAACCCTGTTGGGTCTCAGCTGCTTATCTATAGAGTAGTGGTGATAACATTTTCAATCTGCTTCATAATGTTCATATAAATTAAATATTTGTATAGATAGAGTGTACAGATCCTTACAGATGCAAAACTGAAGGTGAAAGAGGAGAACTAGCTGGTCTAGTGAGTGTACAAGATTTATGAGGAGGATCCTTCTTCTTGGCCTCCTGCTCTGATTGAATCTGGGGCCTGGGCCTGTGCCCATACTTCGCCTCCCAGAGTCTGGATCTGCAGTGGGGTCAGACAGGCGGCAGGCAGGCTAGGGAGACTCAGGTCTAATGCAGGTGGCTCCAGGGGCTGGAAGCTGTTGAGATAGCTGGGGGGTTATAACGTGCCCTGGGAATGACGGTCAGTAGACTGGCCAAGGGTTTATTGCCCATTTGGTCAGGGTGTGAGGCAGAGGGGTGTGGTAGGGCAGGCAGGGCCAGGCTGTAGCATGCATCCACCGCTGCTGCTGATGGAGCCTGAGAGCCATGTGTACTTGGGCCCCCTGGTTCTCTGCTGCCTCAGGGGCCTGACTGCTGAGGCCTTGTGGACCTACCTATGGGGTCAAGCTAGCCTGGCTGCCAGCCCTCTTCTCTGTCCTCACAGCTTTCTTTCTGGGGCCTCATGCACCTTTTACAGGGCTCATGTAAGCTGGTAGGCAGTGGTTATTTTACTGGGGTCTGCTGCCTTCTGGAGACTAAGGGCAGGGACCTTATCTGCTTTACCTGTATTCCCCGGGTCTAGCACAGGGCTAGGTGGGGCCTCACCTTCGAGAGCTGGCTGAACCAACGAGTGAGGCAAAGCAGTGTCTGAAATACCGCAGCAGCCATGGAGCAGCAGAATTAGCTGAAGAATGGAATGTGCAAATCTTCAGTGAGGAGGTGGGCTTAGCACTGGACCAGGAAGGCATAATCAAGAGCTACTCACTGGAAGGGGAAGAAACAGGGGGGTTCTGAAGCAGACAGTGTTGTGGTTGAGACATCAACAGTGCCCATGGATCGGATATTATAGTGGAGCTAACTATCAGGGAGCTAACATTTATTGAGCACTTACTGTGTGCAGTACCTGCATCCCACTGACTCTCACAGTCTCCCCAGTAGGAGAGCTCTGAGGCCACCCAGCTGGATGGAGAGGAATGTGAGGTTTAGAGGGTGGCAAAGCTTGCACAGAGTCACAGGACTGATGAGGACTAGAGCAGCGCTCACAGCCCCGGCTCTCTGGCTCAGAGCATGCCTGCTTAACCAGACACCGGTATCATCATCAAGCTCCCTGTTTGCTCAACCTCCCAGACCCAGCATCTCGTCAGAGCCTTCTAACAACCGGGCTGTGATCCCTGGGCTCATGGTGGGAAGAGATGCTCAGGCTGCAGAGTGGGTGTGCCCAGGCTTGGACGCCTGTCGTGTACCTGCATTCATAGGCATCACAATAGTAGGAGCAGCCTCATCACCCAATGGGTGCCAGGGGCTTTGCATCTGCTCTCTTGCTGACTCCCTCCAGGAGTTGTGAGGTTAGATCTGTTTTCTGCAATGTAAGATGAGGAAACCTGCTCAGCAAGGTCAGAGTCACCAAGCAGTAAAGGGGGACCTCACCTGGGTGTGTATGACTCCAGAGTCCGTGTACCAGAGTGACCGCTTGTCCCAGCTTACCACACCCCAGAGATGTTTGCTAAGTGAGTCTCTTAAAGGGAACTCCAGGGACCAGCCCAGAGCTAAGCCATGCCCATGGCTGCCTGGATGATGGAATCCCAGCATCTTCCTTAATGGCCTAAGGCCATGCCTCTATCTTCTCTTTGCTGCCTTAGGGACCATGCTGGGGAGAGGTCTCTTGCAGGTGGCAGTTGATCACATGAGCACTGTAGGTTCAGGTAAGGGCAGCTGAGGGTGCAAATACCAGAGACAAGACTTGAGGGTTTTTCAGGCAGTAGCAGCTCCATTCACTAATGACTACTCTGTGCCCAGCACACAGGGACAGAGAATGGCTCATAGCCCTGTGTGGGAGAAACACAAAACATCACATTTTCAACTCATGCCAAGCCCTGGGGGAACAAAGTGATACAGAGCCCCGGGGCATCTCATATCCCAGGGGACCTAACACTGGCGTTAATTCTTGGAGAAACTCCTGATTGCACAAGAGAGGTGGAGGGGTGGCCTTCTAGGCAGAAGGAACAGCACTGGGAAGGCCTGGAGGGAGGAACACAAAACAGACAATGAGCAGGGCAGGTGAGTGTGGGAGCCGGAAGAGAGGCCGGGCCAAGTCCTGAAGATGCTGGAATGGCAATCTGAGGTGCTGGGACACCTCAGACCTGTGGTGTCCCAGACCTATTGCTGGCCCACCATGACCTGTGGCTGCTCCACGAAGGACAGCCCCCCTCCCCGCCCCCCCCCACCCCCCCGCCCCCAGCACTGCCTGTGCCAGGACAGCGAGAGCTCAGCCAAGTCCAAGCTGAGCCCTGCAAGTCCAAGCTCTTCCCAGGCCTCAGCTTTCCTTTCTGTGAAATGAGGGTACAGATCCCTAGAGGCCGGGCCCAGAGAGGGTTCCCCAGATCCAGGGTTTCGCAGATCTGCTTAAGGACAGGGATTCAGCTCACCTGTCCCCCCGCCCCGCGCTGCCGGAGGGCAGAGCCGATAAGGGGGTGTGGATGGGAGGGCAGCAGCCAGCAGAGCAGGCGTGTGCGGAGGGCAGGGTCCAGAGGGGCTCTGCCCCGTGGCCTGGAAGGCCCCAGCATGACTTCCACGGGCCCTAGTCCCTTGGCCGCGCTACCTGATAGGTTGTCAGCCCCGGCCTCCGGGTGAGTCCGAATTGACCCCTCCTGCAGGCACCATGGCCCAGGGCTGGGCACTGCTGCTCCTGCTGCTGTTGCCGCGGCAGCTGGGAGTGGTGCTCGCTGCCAGGACCCCGGGGTTTGGCCGAAGCGGCGCCCGCAGCCTGAGCCCCGAAGAGAATGAATTCCCAGAGGAGGAGCCGGTGCTAGTCTTGAGCCCCGAGGAGCCCGGGCGCGGCCCAGCCACCATCGACTGCCCTAGAGACTGCGCCTGCTCCCAGGAGGGGGTCGTGGACTGCGGCGGCATCGACCTGCGCGAGTTCCCGGGGGACCTGCCCGAGCACACCAACCATCTGTCCTTGCAGGTGAGGCTGCGGCGCTGTGCCAACGGTCACAGTCGCCGGAGGCTGCCCCGCACATGGTGGCTCCCATCCCGGAACCGCCCCCGCCCCAACCCCCACCACGGTCCTTGCCCATGGCCTCCCACCCTCCAGACGCAGGGCGCGAGGGCAGGTCAGACAAAAGGATGGCTCCACCAGGGGCATCGTGGCTCTGACATCCCCGGCACAGAGCACTGTGATGTTATGACCTGCTTTGTCTCCTGGGAGGAGTCGGGGTCGAGGCTGTCAGTAGAGTCAGGACCTGTCTGAGATCCGACACAGACCCGCCCTCAGCTGACCCTCTGGGAAGACAGGGTACCCCAGATACCATTACGGACCAGAAAAGTGAACACACAGGAGACCCCTGAAGAGTGCCCTGGGGGGTCCAGTGCTCTCCCCAGCTGAGGCCCCGTCTAGATTTCAGAACCTCCGGAAGTGGGACACAGCATTCCAGATGGGAACTCTGGGGGCACTGATGTGACCGTAATCACCCTCGTGTAACCCTCAGGGACAGGGAGGGGCTGCTGCCCCTGTTTCCAGAGGAGACCAGGCCCAGAGCAGGACAGTGACCAGCCCGGAGGAGACCAGGCCCAGAGCAGGACAGTGACCAGCCCAGGGGAGACCAGGCCCAGAGCAGGACAGTGACCAGCCCAGGGGAGACCAGGCCCAGAGTAGGACAGTGACCAGCCCGGAGGAGACCAGGCCCAGAGCAGGACAGTGACCAGCCCGGAGGAGACCAGGCCCAGAGCAGGACAGTGACCAGCCCGGAGGAGACCAGGCCCAGAGTAGGACAGAGCAGGACAGTGACCAGCCCGGAGGAGACCAGGCCCAGAGTAGGACGGAGACCAGGCCCAGAGCAGGACAGTGACCAGCCCGGAGGAGACCAGGCCCAGAGCAGGACAGTGACCAGCCCGGAGGAGACCAGGCCCAGAGTAGGACAGAGCAGGACAGTGACCAGCCCGGAGGAGACCAGGCCCAGAGTAGGACGGAGACCAGGCCCAGAGCAGGACAGTGACCAGCCCGGAGGAGACCAGGCCCAGAGCAGGACAGTGACCAGCCCGGAGGAGAACAGGCCCAGAGCAGGACAGTGACCAGCCCAGGGGAGACCAGGCCCAGAGTAGGACAGTGACCAGCCCGGAGGAGACCAGGCCCAGAGCAGGACAGTGACCAGCCCGGAGGAGACCAGGCCCAGAGCAGGACAGTGACCAGCCCGGAGGAGACCAGGCCCAGAGTAGGACAGAGCAGGACAGTGACCAGCCCGGAGGAGACCAGGCCCAGAGTAGGACGGAGACCAGGCCCAGAGCAGGACAGTGACCAGCCCGGAGGAGACCAGGCCCAGAGCAGGACAGTGACCAGCCCGGAGGAGACCAGGCCCAGAGTAGGACAGAGCAGGACAGTGACCAGCCCGGAGGAGACCAGGCCCAGAGTAGGACGGAGACCAGGCCCAGAGCAGGACAGTGACCAGCCCGGAGGAGACCAGGCCCAGAGCAGGACAGTGACCAGCCCGGAGGAGAACAGGCCCAGAGCAGGACAGTGACCAGCCCAGGGGAGACCAGGCCCAGAGTAGGACAGTGACCAGCCCGGAGGAGACCAGGCCCAGAGCAGGACAGTGACCAGCCCGGAGGAGACCAGGCCCAGAGCAGGACAGTGACCAGCCCGGAGGAGACCAGGCCCAGAGTAGGACAGAGCAGGACAGTGACCAGCCCGGAGGAGACCAGGCCCAGAGTAGGACGGAGACCAGGCCCAGAGCAGGACAGTGACCAGCCCGGAGGAGACCAGGCCCAGAGCAGGACAGTGACCAGCCCGGAGGAGACCAGGCCCAGAGCAGGACAGTGACCAGCCCGGAGGAGACCAGGCCCAGAGCAGGACAGTGACCAGCCCGGAGGAGACCAGGCCCAGAGCAGGACAGTGACCAGCCCGGAGGAGACCAGGCCCAGAGCAGGACAGTGACCAGCCCGGAGGAGACCAGGCCCAGAGTAGGACAGTGACCAGCCCAGGGGAGACCAGGCCCAGAGCAGGACAGTGACCAGCCCAGGGGAGACCAGGCCCAGAGCAGGACAGTGACCAGGCCCAGAGCAGGACAGTGACCAGCCCGGAGGAGACCAGGCCCAGAGCAGGACAGTGACCAGCCCAGGGGAGACCAGGCCCAGAGTAGGACAGTGACCAGCCCAGGGGAGACCAGGCCCAGAGTAGGACAGTGACCAGCCCAGGGGAGACCAGGCCCAGAGCAGGACAGTGACCAGCCCATGGTCACACAGCCCCCACGGGTCTGCACTGGTGGTGGTGGGAGCCCAAGACCAAGGTAGCCCCTGAGGGAAAGAGGCAAGCTGAGGACAGGACTTACTGTTGGTTCATTCACCAAGTAGCTCCTGTGTACCAGCTCTGTGCTTCTGGTCCTGTGTGGGCTTCTGGGCAAGTAGGGAGGTCTCGGACATGTATTGCCTGTGAGGTGCTCACTGTCTCTCTGGGAGGCAGAGACCTAAACAGGTAGAAAGAACAGACAGAGATGGAAGGACTAGTGCTGTGAGGCCAGAGCAGCTCCTAGTCCAGCCCCCAATCCAACCCAGGAAGGCTTCTGGAGGAGGTGCTACCTGATCCAGGTTTTAAAGCATCCCAAGGGGAAATGGGGTCCACTGGGCCAGGAACCAAAAGTGGGTTTCTGGCTCGGGGAAGGGGAGAATGGGCTGGGGATACCTGTCACTAAGTGGGAACAGTTCTGGAGGGAAGACAGCATTCTAAGTTTGAACTGCCTGTGGATATCTGTGTGTGTGTGTGTGTGTGTGTGTGTGTGTGTGTACGCCTGCCTCTTACAAGGGGGCCCACACCTCTGCTGCGGTTACTGCTGTGCCTGTAACAGCCGCACCTGGGCCTGGCTCAGAGCTAGTCCCCAGGGGCTGTCCACCATGGGACAGAATGCCAGGGGAGGGGCCCAACAGAGGGATTGGCTCCTGGGAATGGACTGAGGTGGGTGCAGGCCTCTAATGGGGCAGGAGCCCTGGGTACCCCTTGGTGTTGCCTCCTCACCATCCCCACCTCTCCCCCCTAGAACAACCAGCTGGAGAAGATCTACCCCAGGGAGCTCTCCCGGCTGCATCGGCTGGAGACGCTGAACCTCCAGAACAACCGCCTGACTTCCCGAGGTGAGAGATCGTCCAGGACTGGGGGCTGGGACCCCAGACAGGAAACTAGGTGCCTATGGGGAAAGCCCTGCCCTCCAGACCCTGGCATGTGGGAAAGAGCAGGCCTGGGCTGGGCTGGCCTCCGGACCCACGGCAGGGGCTCCCTGTGGTTGCCTAACAGCCACTGCTTTTGTTTCTGAGACTGGGGAGTCTGATCAAGGGAGAGGCTTCAGAGCAGCTCAGACTCCAGAGTCTGAGGAATCACAGAAGGCCTTTATAATCAAAGAGTGTAGAATCCTCAAATTTTAAAAGTTTTTTTTTTTCTGATGATGAAAATAGTTTCTAATTATAGTAGAAAATTTGGAAATATAGAAATTGGAGTACAAAAAACCCCGCTCATTATCCTGCCACTGCCACCTGAAAAGTGAAAGTGAAAATCGCTCAGTCGTGTCCGACTCTTTGTGACTCTATGGACTATACAATCCATGGAATTCTCCAGACCAGAATACTGGAGTGGGTAGCCTTTCCCTTCTCCAGGGGATCTTCCCAACCCAGAGATTGAACCAGGTATCCTTCATTGCAGGCAGATTCTTTGTCAGTTGAGCCACGTGAAGTTCATCACTATTGATATTTTGGTATATTTCTTTTCATTAAAAAAAAAAGCATAATTTATATACCATAAAGTTTATTCAACTTAAAGGTACAATCTAATGAGTTTTTATAAGTTTATATGTTGTACAGCCATCACCACAATCCAGTCCAGTCCTTTTACTTTGTGTTTTTAATTCATAGCTGTACTGATAGTATCGATACTATAACTGTTATAATTGCTTTGTTTCACTTAGCAGTTAGCTCAGCAGCATTTCTCATGTTGCTGAAAACTCTCCCCGGCCATCATTTGACACAGGGTATTCCGCAGAGGGATGCTGCACAGTTTATGTAACTGTTCCCTCTTGTTAGATACTTGGGTGAGTCCCAGGATCTGAGGGTCTGGGAGATCAGAACCAAGTGTCAGAGGCCGACCTCAGGACTGGAGAAGGGCCAGCCTGGCTGGGCTCCCGGTGACAGCTGGGTTCTGACAGCACATATGCCAGATGGGGCAGGAGAGGGCCAGGTGCAGGGTGGGGGTGGGAAGGGGCTCAGAAGCCATTGCCTTGCCCTACCCTGCCTGGGGCTGGGTGTGGAGATTCTCTCTGACCCACTGGAGCTGTCCCCAGGGGCACACTCCTTCTTGGCAGGTCCTCTGCCCTGTGGACTGATCTTTTGGGTGCCCATTCCCATCCAGGCTGCCCTGAGAAAGTGAAGGATCAGTCATCTCTCAGCAGACACTTGCCATCTACTCTTCTGAGCCTGGGCCTCTGAGAGCGGGACTGGGGGTGGGGTGGCCCTGGGCAGGCCTGTTGGGACTGGCTGGGTAGGGTTCAGAGCCGCATCTGCCCCAGGCAGTGCCTCCCTGTCCTGGCAAGTGGGGTGGGTGTGGGGTGGTCGGTGCTCACGTGCTCCCCTGTAGCGTCTCCTTCATCCAGGGCTCTGACTGATGCCTGTCCTTTGAAGGGCTCCCGGAGGAGGCATTTGAGCATCTGACCAACCTCAATTACCTGTACCTGGCCAATAACAAGGTGAGGGGCCCGCAGCAGGGCAGGGTGTCTGGGGCTGAGCTCAGGGAACTTTCACCAGGGCCTCTTTTGGGCCGGCTGCTGGGTTCCTATTGCTGCTCAGGCATGGTCCAGACCCCACACTTTAACACAGGGCTTCAGAGTGGTCAGATGATGACCGAGGCCAAGGCCTACATCAGCGTAGTGGGGTGAGAGCTCATCCCCATGGGGAGGGGGCATTGGAGGGATAACATTTGAAGGGCCATGAAGGGTAATGGAATTTCAGCCAGAGGCCTCAAGGGGAAGGGCACTGCAGTGAAAGGGACAGCATGAGTGAAGGTACAAAGGCACTCAGCCTCACAGTATTTGGCCTGTCGCAGGGCTCTTTCCCGGCCCTTCTCTCTAAACTCCCAAGGTGACTATATCCTCTTTGGTCTATAACACCCATCTACATCAAGGCCACATCCAGAGGGCTCCAGGCTTTCCCCTACTCCCACGTGAGACTCAAAGATCCCCCTGCCTCCTCAGCATCTCCCCTGGATGTTTGATAGAAATAGAACTACCTGCTCCCATCATAGTCCTTTCTGTTGTCTCTCCATCTCTGGAAGGGGCATCTCCAACCACCTGCAACGCCACTGGTCAGAGCCATGAATCCCTGAGTGCTTCGCTCACCCACATCTGCTCTCTCCACAGCTTCCCAACCCCCTGTCCTGCCCACCAGCATAGGACAACCCACCTTCTCATCTGTGGCCCTTCTCCTCAGAGCAGCCAGAGGGGCTTTTCAAAATCTTGCCCCACTCCCGCTCTACATCGTCCCCTTCCCACTTAAAACCCTCCCATGGCTTCACCATCTGCCCAGGAATAAACCCACATATCTCCCTGAGACCTGCAGGCTTGGGTCCCCAGCCCTCCTGGCTTTCTTAACTCATCTCCCCACTGGCTCCCACCCCCAAACCTGGCAGACTGTCCCCCATGGGCCTCTGCTCACTGTCCCTGCTGTGTGGGTACTCTCCCACACAGATGGCATTTAGGGTGCCGTCATCTCTTCTCCAAGCACCCCACAAAGTTGTTCATTGTCTTCTGTCTGTTTGAATTCCTGGCACAGCAGTGATCACTCTCGATACTTTTATTCCTTGTGTATCATCTTTTCCACTAGGATGTAAGCTTTTGGTGTGGGTGGTGTGGGCAGGGACCTGTGTCTTGTTCCCTAGGACATGTCCAGGGCCTGGAACTCTGCCTTCACATTGCAGATTTCAGGGAGTACTGTTGAATAAATGAAGGGTGGATAGCGTGGACTGGGGCTGGAGAAACGTGGGTGCTCACTGTGCCTGCACAGAGGGCCAGTGTCGGGGGCAATGAGGGGAGAGGCCAGGAGAATGGGCAGGGCAGGGGACAAGATGGAGAGATTTGAATGTCAAGCTCAGGACTGTGGGGAGCCATAGAGGTTCTGGTTTTGTGTTACTGGGGACTTTAGAAAGATGGCTCTAGTTGCAGAGAGGAGACAAACTGAAGGGGCTCAGATGAGCAGCAGGCAGTGTGACTCCGAGCCGGCCTCTCACCCTCCACTGGTCTTTCTACCCCAACTCTTCCTTTTCCAGCTGACCTTGGCACCCCGCTTCCTGCCAAATGCCCTGATCAGTGTGGACTTCGCTGCCAACTATCTCACCAAAATCTACGGGCTCACCTTTGGTCAGAAGCCAAACTTGAGGTCAGAGGTCAGAGGGGGACCATGGGCTTAGGTTGGGGAGAGGGGAGGAGCTGAGGCAGAGGCTGCAGGCCCTGCGTGGGATACAGGCAGCTCAGGGAGGAGGGATGGGCAGTGCAGTGCAGCCCTGATGCCCCATGCCCAGGGCTGAGGTGACAGACACCCAGGGCTGCAGGGGCACAGGGTCTGGAAGGCTGACCCCTAAAGGAGGAGGAGGAGTCAGTCGAGAGGGGAGGACAGAGGGTGATGTCTGGGGAATTGTGGGGAGCAGATGAGGGTATTTCCCTCCTTGCCTAGCCCCTGGGAAGGGAAGCCTCTTCAATAGGCAGAGCTGCCCTTGCTGAGGCTGCTCTGGGTGAGGCCTCACAGCACAGGTATGTGAGCGGGTAGGGGAGGGGGTGCTGGGGAGGAGAAGGTGCTGACGGCCTCCCATGCCACTTTGTCCCTGAACCTGTCACCTCGATTCTCTCCATCCCCGGGAGAAGCCTGTGCTGCTGTGTATGGCTCTGTCCCACAGACGAGAAGACTGAGGCCCAAGAGAGGCCATACAGCAAGAATGAGCTGTATTGTCGATGGATTTCTCTTATGTATGGTCTTCCGTATAGAATGTTAGCTCCGTGAAGGCAGAGACTTGTTGGTTCTGTCCACTGCTGTATCTTTAGGATCTGGAACAGTCCTGGCACATAGGGGCACTTACTGTATGCTTGCTGAATGAATGAGGGGTCACCTCCTCTGAACCCAGATCCTGTGCTGGGCTCTAGGGACAAGGAGGTGACAGGGATAGGATCCATTCTCAGGAGGTCCCACAGAGCTCAGAGACAGCTGTGTGGACAGGCAGGGACTCCAGGGCTGCATCACTCAGGGAATAAGTGAGAACCTTGAAGGTTATGGAGAAGCAGGGACTGGGGGTCACGAAGTCTTGTTTCTTCCACTAACTTGTAGGGTGGTTTCTTCGTCCCCTCGGCTATGTAGGGGGAACTGAATTTGGTGGAGTCTGAGGCTGTTGAGATGGGAGGAGGGTGCCCTGGGCCATAGGCCCAACCTGAGCAAGGTCTGGAGGCTCACCAGCTGAGCTGGTGTGGGGATGGTTGAGTGAGAACCTGAGCCTCGCCCCCAGGTCCGTGTATCTGCACAACAACAAGCTGGCGGACGCCGGGCTGCCGGACAACATGTTCAATGGCTCCAGCAATGTTGAGATCCTCATCTTGTCCAGCAACTTCCTGCGCCATGTACCCAAGCACCTGCCGCCCGCCCTCTACAAGCTGCACCTCAAGGTGGGAGGGAGAGGGCAGGGAGGAGCACTGCCTGAGCAGGGGAGAGCCCAGGCCCACGTGGGCACAGTCGTGAGGCTGCGGGGCCTCGGGCACGAGCTGGGGGGCACAGGCTCTACTGCGGAGAAGCAGAGACCCAGACACCCGGCCATCAGCCCCACACTGAGTACTTTAGGCCTGGGCCCCCTCCCATGGCTCCCCCAGACCCCTCTCCATATCTCATCCCAAGGCTGTGTCCTTGCCCCTTGACTGTCCCTCATGCCCCCTCCCCACCCTCCCATCTCTCAGAACAACAAGCTGGAGAAGATCCCACCAGGTGCCTTCAGCGAGCTGAGCAACCTGCGTGAGCTGTACCTGCAGAACAACTACCTGACTGATGAGGGCCTGGACAATGAGACCTTCTGGTGAGCTCCTGCCTGGGCCTCAGTGTGAGCTCTGCACTCGGGAGGCCCCTCCCAGGGCTCACCTGGCTGGGCCCTTGCCCACCTGCCCCTGGCCAGTTTTCTCGGAGAAGGAACTTTAAGGTTTGTGCCTTTACTGACACTTCTGTCCCGAAGAATAGGGCTATGTAAGTCCTGCCCCAAAAAAGGCAAGGAAGTGTTTGCAGAGGCTGGCTTCTTGGTACAAAGTAGAGACTCAAGCATTCTCGTTGAAGGCAGATCTATTTTCAGTTTTTAGGCCCGGGGTAGCCTAAAAGGACAAAAGGCTTTAAAAGTCTTCAAACAAATCCTGTGTCAGAAACTTGCTAGATCCTTCTTACACCAATGTATCGTTGAATCAAGCCACTGAGAGGCTGGGAGAGGACTGAGTTCCCCAGTCAGCCAGTGGCAGAGCTGGGATGAGTTAGAAGAAGTCCCCTGCCACCTCCCTTGGGAGTAATGTTGGAAACAAGTGCCACTTGGGCTCTTGTCCACCGAGCTAATCCCCCGCTTCCCTCCAGGAAGCTCTCCAGCCTGGAGTACCTAGATCTGTCCAGCAACAACCTGTCGCGGGTCCCGGCGGGGCTGCCGCGCAGCCTGGTGCTGCTACACCTGGAGAAGAATGCCATCCGGAGCGTGGCTGCGGACGTGCTGACCCCCATCCGCAGCCTCGAGTATCTGCTGCTACACAGCAACAAGCTGCGCGCGCAGGGCATCCACCCGCGGGCCTTCCAGGGCCTCAAGCGGCTGCACACAGTGCACCTGTACAACAACGCTCTGGAGCGCGTGCCCAGCGGCCTGCCCCGCCGCGTGCGCACCCTCATGATCCTGCACAACCAGATCACCGGCATCGGCCGCAACGACTTTGCCACCACCTACTACCTGGAGGAGCTCAACCTCAGCTACAACCGCATCACCAGCCCACAGGTGCACCGCGATGCCTTCCGCAAGCTGCGTCTGCTGCGCTCTCTGGACCTCTCCGGCAACCGGCTGCACACCCTGCCGCCTGGGCTGCCACGCAACGTGCACGTGCTGAAGATCAAGCGCAACGAGCTGGTCGCCCTGGCGCGTGGGGCGCTGGCCGGCATGGCCCAGCTGCGGGAGCTCTACCTCACCGGCAACCGGCTGCGCAACCGGGCCCTGGGACCCCGTGCCTGGGCCGACCTCTCTGGTCTGCAGGTGAGGGGGCAGGGCCGTGCCCATATACAGTACTACTGGTCAGGCTGCCCTGAGCCCACCCAGCTGCTGGGCCCAGGAGAGGGGGGAGCAGGAGGGCAGGGCCTCTAGAGAAGGGCCCGCTGGGCAGCCGGGGCATTACGGTATGGAGCCTGGTCCATGCCAAGGATCTGGCAGGCTCATGGTACAGCAGCGCATGGCAGAGTTCAGCTGGCTGGCAAGCAAGAGCTTACCACCTGCAGGGACAGGCTTGAGGAATCCTGTAGGGACAAGGGAAGTTCATGGCTGCAGGTGGGGGGGGGGCATTGTCCAGGAGGACTGAAGGACAGGGACAGTTCAGGTGGCATGAGAAAGTGGAGCTCACCCACCTGTGGGCACAGGATAGATGCCTGGAGAAGGCTGGGCTTGTGGGAGGGGAGGGTGGCAGGTGCCTGAGGCAGGCTAACCTCACCAGGCTGCAGAGTCTAGGGGAGTGAACTTGAGGCTTCTGGGACTGACCGGTGGCTGTGGCTCCTGTAGCCACAACCTGAGACAGGAGGGCTGTCTGGCCATGTGAACTGAGCCTCCTTGGTTACAGGTGAAGCCTCCCGACCCAGTGAGGGGCTTGAAAGGGAGCTTCATTAAGGAACCTGGGAGGCTCTGCTGTTTTACCAGGCCCCCCTCTCCCAAATGTCCTCAGGCCTTGCTCCGCCCTTTTCCGCAGGGCTCTGCTCAAATATCACCTCATTGGGAGGTCTTCCTTCACTGCCTGCCGCCTTCCTCTGCTTTGTTTTACATCATAACCTTCTTCCCTCTGAAAGTAGGTCATCTGTTTACTTGTTTGTTTCCTGCTCTTCCTGCCAGAACAAGGCGCAAGCGTTTTAGTCAGTTGTGTTCACTCCTGGACCAGGGCCCTGGCTGTGGGAGGCACGCAGTCCATGCTTGTCAGGGGAGCTGTCAGGGTGGGGATGTCTGAGAGGAGTGCAGGGGAGAGGCCCTGAGAGTGGGAGGCAGGGAGCTGGGGCTGAGCCCCAAGGGTGAGTGGTGGGAGGCGGCTGGTCCTACAGGAGCAGCCAGGGTCTCTCCCCACCCAGAGAGTCCTGCTGAGTGTCAGACACCAGGGTCCAGCCACCAGTGCCCATCTCTCTTGTGCCAGTTCTTAAGGGGCCCCAACCCTATTACCCTCTCCTCCATACCTGCTCCTCCTGCTGCATTGGCTAACTTGCTGAAGGAGGTGACATCCACCTGGGTGTCCACAGGAAATGTGGATGCTGCCCTGACACCCCCTCTTCCACACCGTCTGACTCCAATTGCCCATTGTTACTAAACCTTCACACTCTATCATGACATCTCCCCATCTTTCCACTTCTTTCCATCCTACTGGACATATCAGAAAGTCAAGTCACCCCATTTCTTCCTGGACTTCAGCTTCCTAGGAGCACTCCACTCCTGTCTTCCACATACAGTCAGCTGGTATCTTGAAAAAAAACAAAACAAAACAAAAGAACAAACATGCTCACTGTACACCCACCCAGAACCCTTCTGTGGCTTCCCTTTAGAACCCAGACCAGAATCCTGGCCGTGACCTTCAGGGCCTGGCCTTCCTCTGCTCCCAGCTGAGCTTCTTGGTTTTCCAGATGCCCTGGACTTTGTTTATACTGTCCCCTCGGCTGGAAAGCCAGTGACACCTACTCACTCATTCATTCCACAAGCTGGTACCGAACCCTCACCACATGCAGACCCAGTTCTAGAACTGAGGACCTAGAGGGGATTAACACAGATCCAGAGTCACTGCCCTCCTAGAGCTTATCTTCTACCTAGGACTCAGCTCAATTGTCACCTCCGCCAGGAAGCCACCACCTATGGGCAGGTGAAGTGGCCGTCTGGGTGAGTCCAGTCAGGAAGGGGGTATCTGGTGAAGATCTTTCTCAGCCTGTTGGATCTTCGTACAAGCAGCGGCTCTCACTGCTCCAGAGCTCCCACCTGTGTGGGCTGCTGTCTACTCCCCCAACCCCAATTGGGCTGGATCAGGCCCCTCCCCCGTGCTGCCTTATCACAGCCCGGTTCCACTGCTGTCATTGTCAGCTCGTTGTGTCCATCTCTCCTGCCAGCCTGGCTGGTGGGCACTGAGGAGATCTAGAATGAATGAGGAAGTGCTGGATCCGTGTGGAAGGAACCCAGTGGGGAGCAGGGAGCCCTGCTGATAGAGAAGGTGACAGGGAGGCTTCCTAGGGTGCCTGAATTGTGTGCTTCTCTGAATCTGGAATCTGGATTTATGGCCCCCAGTTCCCTGGCCCTGAGCCCCATCCTGTCAGGGTGAGGAGGGAGCTTGAAACGATGGAAGCCCACCCGTGGTTATACAGGTGTGTATCAGGGCTAGGGTGCTGACAGCCCATGGTGCAGGCAGTGAGCCAGGCCCGGGCATGTCCAAGTCTCCTTCCTGCTGCAGTTGTGCTCTGCTCCCTGGGAAAACCACCCCATTTCCCTGGCCACCTGCTTCCTGGACTCTAGACCTGTGGTGAGTCTGACACTGACCAGCCTAGGGCCTGGTTGCCATGCCAGGGTCTCTCTGAGCCTTGAATCTTGACCCTCGGCCCCTGTCTACATGGCCCTGAGAGCCACAAAGGAGTAGCCCCGCCCCCATCCTCATCTGGCAAATTGGGTTGCACTTTAAAGACTGGGACACCTAGTCCCTGCCCTTTTGGGGTCTTTAGTCTGAGGGAGGTGACAGGTGAGTTAAGGAGGGAGGACTTTAGCACCCAGACTCTATGACCACGAATTCATGTGGCCAGGTGGAACGAGCATGGTAGGAGATACACCAATTAGAACAAGTATTCGGAGTCACAAGCCCCGGCTTCCAGCCTTTACAGGCCCTATGGCCTGAAATGGATCTCTGAACCTCTCGAAGCCTCTGTTTTCCCATCTGGAAATGGGGATAGTTATAGAGCCCACCTCACGGGGTTATGAGATTTAGAATGCTCCGGGTCAGTGGGAGCTTAGCAAACTGTCAAGTGCCGTATCTGCCCTGCTCACCCCTGTAGCTGCTCGACATTGCTGGGAATCAGCTCACGGAGATCCCCAGGGGGCTTCCAGAGTCGCTGGAGTACCTGTACCTGCAGAATAACAAGATTAGTGCCGTGCCCGCCAATGCCTTTGACTCTACACCCAACCTCAAAGGGATTTTTCTCAGGTAGGAGGCCTGCCCCTGCCCCTCAGGGGGCTGCCCAGCTCCAGCAGGACAGTCAGGGCCCATGGGAACCACTTACAGGTAGAGGTCAGTGCTTGAAGCAGTGCTTCCATAGAGCAGAGCCCTGGTTACATCACAGAGCCCCACTGAGCTCCTGTTCCCTTGGCTCTCAAGGGTGAAAACAGTCCTGGCCAGCCCTGGTGAGGTTCACTGGTTTGTGAAAGGGCTTTGGAAACTTTAAAAAGCAGAACTTGTGGGCGTTCTTGATGTTCCTGTGGCAGGAAGGGACCACAGAGAGCATCTTCCCAATTTACAGCTGGGAAAGTTGAGGCCCGGAAAGCACAGGTGACTGCTGTGTCCATAGCTGGACAGGCTGGGCCTGGGCCTCAGACCCAGGATAGCAGATGTTCAGGTCCTTGCTGGGTTCTGGGGGTTTAGGATAATGCAGGAGACCCGGCTCCCCTAGGAGAGCAGAACCAGGGTGGTTCTTCCCACCATCCCCCTCCAAGTCAGACAGATCAGACAAAGGCAGCATGTGCACTCCCAGGGGCTTTGTGGCCCAGAAGGCCCAGGCTGGGTGACATCAGGGTGCAGTGTGCCTCGGCTCCTGCAGGAGACTGAGGTACAGAGAGTTGAGGGGGCCTGAGATCAGAGCCCAGCCTTCCCCTTCCCGAACATAAGTGTGTCCCCAACCCATTGTGGCCCTGGCCTTTCTGTGTCCCTCTACACCCAGCTCCAAGGTGACTTCCGGCTGGCCACAGAGCATCCTCAGACCTCCAGGTTAATGCCAACGAGCGGCAGGGAGCACTTGCTTGTGTCTGCCACCCCTAGATCATAGTAAGAGCATACATGGTGGAGGCCTTCTCTCCTCTGTACAGGGTCACCCTTCCCCACTGCAGCAGCCACACAGAATAGCTCAAGCTCCCTGTGATGGCCTGGACTCCTAAGCCCCTTCTTTTGTGCTTGCTGCATGTCTTCTTGGAAGGCCCGTCCCTTCCAACCCACTTCTGGGCTGGGTCAGTGTGGGGACACTGTCGGGCTAATGGCACAGACCTCACATGGGTGCCCTGCACAGGTTTAACAAGCTGGCTGTGGGCTCCGTGGTGGAGAGTGCCTTCCGGAAGCTGAAGCACCTGCAAGTCTTGGACATAGAGGGCAACTTTGAGTTTGGTGACGTTTCCAAGGACCGGGGCCGGTTGGAGAAGGAAGAGGAGGAGGAGGACGATGACGACGAGGAGGAAGAGGAAAGGCGGTAGTGACTGGGTGAACCGGATCTGACATAGGTGAGTGGTCTGTGTGGGGCGCCCTAGCCTGCTTCACCACATTCCTGCCCCTGACCCCAGTCTAGGATCTTTCTGTCCATTCTCCACCCACTGTACCCTGCTTCACTGTTCATTTTGCAACTCTGTTAGAGTGCTCAGTGTGCTCAGGCCCTGGGTGCGAGGTCAGGGATGATAGCATGCCAGCGGGAGGCCGGCCCGTGTCAGGGCCTCGATCCACAGCGATGCATCCCTGATGGGACTGGGAGGGGGGGAAGCAGGGAATGGATATGGGGTCCCACGAGGAGGCTATGCTGCAACTCAAGCCAGAGATGCTGGAGGTGGGCAGTGAGGTTGCAGACGAGCAGATGGGCCTGAAAGGAGGTCTGGAGGTGCAGACTTGAGGGGCCCAGCTAGTCCTGCTGGACCTGGGGTGAAGGAGAAGACAAGATCCCAGTTCTAGCCTGGAATTCTGGGTGAATGATAATACTTGGAGGAGCAGGTCTGGTGAGGGGAACAGTGAGTTTGGAGGACACTGGGGAACTGCCCAGGGTGGACTGGCTATTTGGATCTGGGGCTGCAGAGTGAGGTCTGGCTGGAGAGGGAGGTCCAGGAATTGTAGGCCTTGAAACAGTCCCTGGGGGACTGGAGAGGCTGGGGGAGCTCTCCAGGGAGAGAAGAGGGAGGGGGATGGCCAGCTGAAGGGGAGCGGCAGGAGGAAGGGGACAGAGCACCAGGGGAGGGAGGGAGAACTGCAGACAGCCCAGGACAGAGGGTCATCACACGTGCACACAGTGCACCAACGTGCACACACTCACACTCATCTAAACATGCACACACATGCACAAAGCAGACACTCAAACACACACACACATGTGCACACACAGATACACTTGCATGTACTTTATTGTGTATTCGCAGATGCAGGACAAGCACACCATTGCATATACTCATGTGTGCATGCATATGAGTACACACACATGTGCCTCCCCAGGCACATATGCCCTTGTGTGCACATGTGCACACACACATATACATGTGCATGCATGTTATGCATCCGTGCACAGGAAGTGTAAGGAATGAATCAGCTGTGTGAGCGCAACAGAGAGAATGATGGAGCTGAGCGTGGCCACGGACCCACTGGACTTATCTAAAGGGAGGTCACTGTGACCTTGTCAGGAGCAGCTTCAGGGGCTGAGAAAGTGGCTGGAAAGGAGAGGGTTCAGGGAGTATAGACAAGTCTGTCAAGAAGCTTGATTGTGAAGAGATGAGTGAGGCTGGTGGTGGGAAGGATGCATGAAGCTCAGGCAGGGTTCTGTTCTTGCTGGGCCTTTTTTAAGCAATGGAGCTGGTTTGAATGCCAGTGGGGGGGGGGCCCATGCTGAGGGAGGAGTTAAAAGCATAAGAGAGGAGAGCTGGGTGTAGCCACACCTGTGCAAGCAGGAGGAAGGACTGGCTTGTGCAGGGGGGTCAGTTCTGCAGAGGCTACAGTCACACGCAGGTCAGCGGGTTCGTGGCTAGATGTGAAGTCACACCCGCCCGGTGCCTTCAGCCTTCTGGTTTCTCTGTGCAGCAGGTACTCAGCAGACCAGGGTGGGTGTGGAGACGATGGCCAGTTGGATCCTCCCATGGCTGAGGTTTTGGCCAGGAATGTGAGACAGGAAGGCAAGGAACAAGGAAACTGAGGGTGCTGGCAAGAGAGAGGCTGTCTTGCAAATGCTGGGGCTCAGGCTGAAAAGGGAAGGGGTGCAGATGGGAGGGATTGGTCTCCTGGGGGAGGAGGTTGAAGGGTGGGCATGGTGGTGGGGAGTAGCCAGGAGGGGAGGTGTGGTCAGGAGAGATACCAGAGTAAGCTGAGCTGGATCGCTATTAGGATGTTGAATTGAAGTAGGGTCTAAGACAGAGAAGTCTGAGTGGGGTTGAGGATCCTATGGGTGGAGGACATAAGGAGGAGGGAACAGGGGTCCAGTGGCAGAGAGAGGAGTGAGTGTGCTGGGCTTGCTACCTGATTGTGGAGGGCGGGCCCAGAGGCAGTGCTCGGGAGTCACCTTTCTTGACTCCTGGGCCCAGGGGCCTGGAGGTAGAGCCCCTTATCTCCATGTGTTGTCCTCTGGCAGAGCCAGGGGTCAGTGACTGGGGTGACTAGCCATTCAGTGGGGGTGCTGAGGCCCTCAGAAAGGCACTGTGGGTCCTGAGGTAGAGAGAATCTGCCCCTCTGGAGGACACTGGGCACAGTCAGCAGCTCCGGGAGAGGCCAAAGGGGTCCAGAGGTTTCCAGTCCACACCAGGCCCACAGGAGCACCTCCCATGGGAGCCTCTCACTGGCTCTGGACTCCCAGGGCAACTCCCGCTCAGGCCAGCAGTTGCTTGACCCTGCCAGGGCCCCCAGCTCTAATCCTCTTGGCCCCGGCTGGGCTTGGTGGGCAGGTCAGCGTTGGCCTCCCCTGACTCGCCCGCATGTTCTGCAGGACGACGGACCACTGGAGCCTTTCTGCAGCACGTGCCTGAGCCCTGCGCACCCCCACTCTGCCTTGCTCACAGACACTCACAGCACAGTGCCCACCAGGCCCCACTCCACACACAGACTGGACCCAGTCTCCCCTCCCCACCCCTTCCTGCAGTCCATCCACAGCCAGACACCCACACACAGCCAGCGGCACAGCGTCCTCCAAACTTCCCCATGTTGGCCCCACACTCAATGCTGCCCTCAGTCCCTGAGTCCTGCAGACGAGGCAAAGGGTCTGACCAGTCCCAGCACTCATGGGTACCTGCTCCCTGCCCCATGGACACATGTATACACACACACACATGAGTCACATGCTCTTCTCGGCCTCTGCCACCAGCAGCTCTTGCCCCAGCCAGAAATGGCCAGCTCGCTGTCTGTCTGTCTGTCCCCTCTGTCTGTCCCTTGGAGAAGACACAGAGTTATCTCTATGCTGTCTGCGGCCAGGTGCCTGCACCCTCTGGATCTCACAGACTGGGTTTTCTTCCTTTCTCTCCATTTGGGGAAAGAACCTTCAGGACTGCTTCCTTGGCCCACCGGTCATGGTCCCCAAAACCGGGTCAGTCATTCCCCGCCAGGCCCTGGCCGGGCCCAGACACAACTTTGATGGACGAGCCCCACTGAGGCCAGAGGGAAGGTCTGAGGCTGCTGGGGTCTTGGGCTGGAGCTCGGCGGAGGTGGCGGGGCTGGGTGGAGCAAGAGCGAAGGGCCCAGCTGCACCGATGAGAGAACTTTTTTATTCTTTGGGCCTGAGGGGAGTTCTGGGTGCCTTTTTTTAAAAAATTCTTTTTTAAGGAAAAAAAAAGATAAAAACTTCAAAGCTGATTTTTCTTGTTACAGAAAAACTAATATAAAAGCATTACCCCTGTCTGGCAGCCTGTGGCCCTGTCTGTGTGTGCTTCCTGCCAGGTGCCGGGCTCAGGCCTGGCCGGCCAGGCGGGATCCCAGCACTTCAGCACTTTCTGACCAGCAGGAGTCAGCGCCGAGTTCACTTCTGGGGGCCCACAAATTCATCCCATAGAAAGAAGTCCAGGGACACAGGGTTTAGGTGAAGGTGAGGCGGCCTGGAGGCCCCTCAGCTCGGGGGGCGGGGGTCAACAGGTTGGGCCGGGACCACCGCACAAAGCCTGTGAGCCCGCTCGCTCTGTGCTTCTGAGGGGCTGAGCATCCAGGCAGAGGACCTGCCAGCTTTGGGCTGCTCAGAGCTCCTGGGCACTGAGTGGGCATGACTGATGGGGTCTAGCCCATAGAGGATGCTGGAATGGGAAGGGGGCTGGAGGCAGGCCTGGGAGCTGGAGCAGAGCCCACCTCAGGGCCCTGGTCCCTGCAGGCTTGCCCAGAGGTGGCAGGCTAGCCCAGTGTGTCACCATCACCAGCAGGGCCAGAGCTGGGCCAGAAGAAGGCAGCCCCCAGCCCAGAGCAAAGAACGTCTCCAGGCAGAGCTGCCCCACAGTGGGTCGCATGCCCCGGAAGTGGTAGCCCTGGAAGTAGTGCGCCACTGGAGGTGTGTAAGCGTGCTGCCACTGCTTTACTGTCGGGCTCAGTAAAGAGCAGCTTCCTGACCCGTGTGGAGCAGATGCCATTGCTCAGAGAGATGTGCCGCAGGAAGGTGGACAGTAAGGTAGGCCACACCGTGGGAGAGTTATGATAGCTGGACATCTGATCCGTCATAGGCCTTAAGGAAGGAGGGATGCTCCCGAGGTGGATTCTACAGCCTCTCGCCCTGTGGTGGGAGGGGGAGCCTAGGGCCCTTCCTGGACTCTTCAGACCATAACCCTGGGAGGAAGATGGAGGTAGTTCAGGAGCGGGGCCTGGGAGGAAGGTGGTCATTGTTGTTCAGCCGACTCTTGGCGATCCCATGGACTGCAACATGCCAGGCTTCCCCATCCTTCACTGTCTATTGAGTCAATGTCGCCATCCTACCATCTCATCCTCTGTCATCCCCTTTCTCCTCCTGCCTTCAGTCTTTCCCAGCATCAGGGTCTTTTCCAATGAGTCAGCTCTTCGCACCAGGTGGCCAAAGTATTTGGAGCTTCAGCTTCAGCATCCGTCCTTCCACGGAATATTCAGGACTGATCACCCTCCTGATTCTCTGACTGACCCTGGGAGAGAGGCTCATCCTCTCTCCCAGCTTCACAGGCTCCATGGTGCAAAACCCTGGGGCTGTATCTTCTCCCCAAAGTGCATCCAGGGCAGACTGTGTGGCCAGGGTCTTCCATCTCCCCTGCAAGCCTCCTGGAGACACGGTGAGGCTGAGGAGAGCGAGGGAAGGGGAGTCTGAAAACTTCTCGGGCACATCCCCTGCTTAAAGCAAAGCATTCACTGATGGGAGCCAGGCTGGCTGAGGAAATGTGTTTCTTTTGTGAGGACTGATCTCAGGGCCCTGACTGGAGAGCCCAGGCTATGAGCAGAGTGGTCTGTCCACACTGTGGTTCCCAGACAGGCCCCTGGGCGGCCCAGTGGGTGCTCTGCTTCCTGCATGTAATGGCTCAGGCAGGTCTGTCCTCACTCTGGCTGCCCAGGCAGGCCCATCTGTACACTGACAGCCCAGACAGACCTGTCTACACTCCAGAGCTGCAGACTAGGCTGTTTACATTCTGGCTTCCTGGACAGCCCCGTCTGTACTTGGACTGTCCAGACAAGCAAGTCTGTGCTTTGCCTGTATTAACCCCATAAAGAAATGCTGGTTTGGGTATGGTCACTAAGCCCACAAGACTTGAAAAACAAAATACCTTTATTTAGTTATCACTGAACTTGCAAACACAGAAAGGAATAGAAAATCTATCTCCTCTTCATCACATGGGCTTTGGGGCAGGGGGTGGAGGGAATGCTGACCCCAGGGCCATCTGGGCAGCTTGACTGAAACATCCCAGGTGAGTCTGCGTCCCCAATCCTGGCTGGCTCACCTGTCCAATGGGAGACTAGCCCGGGGGTTTCTAGGGGCCCTGCAGCTCTGGTGAAGACATCTTCATCTCCACATCAGATGAGCTTTATGAGACAGAACTGCTAGGTCAGGAGATGGGACTGGCTGTGGCACGTGGAAGGCAGTGGGTCTCGGCTTTAGGCTGGGCCCGTCCTTGGGGAGAGTTGTTGGTCTGAGGCCACGTGTTATGGGCTGGGTGGGGGCGGGTCTGGGCTGCGACACAGCTGGGGCAGAACCGGGACATTGCCATATCTTCATAAATTGAAAGCAGTGGTGGCTCTGGGGCTTCTGGAGGGGTCAGAGCATCCCTCTTGGCATCTGGCCCTGCAGGCATCTCTGTCCTCTGGCAGGGAGTGGCCAGGGCTTGAAAGCCTTGAACTAGAATCCTAGTCCTGATATCACTTGTTCTGAGACCTGGGGCAAGTGTTTTCAGCTCTCAGAGCCTCAACTTTGTGATTCAGAAAGTGGAGACCATACCCCTGCCTGCCACCCTCACAGGCCAGCCCAGTGGAAATGTCACAGCTGGGGCTCAGGCTACATCTGCCTGTAACTCTCCAGCTGGGACCCCCACATGCAATCTTTCCCCTTTCTGCACTCCACTTTCTGTCAAGTGGAGCCCATTCTGGACCCTCAAGGGTGGGGAGATAGTGTTAGGCTGGCCCTTGTGCTCAGGAAAGTAGTGAATTGAGATCCTGCCCTTGGCCCCTAACCCCGGAGGCCTCCCCTGGGCCTTGCAGTTCCCAGGGCTCAGACATTGGTCTCGAGCTCGCTGATCTCAATGGTGCAGTGGTCCAGACTAGCAGTGGCTGGTTCCTCATCCTGCTCCACCTGGACGGGGACGTGGTGGGGACAGGAGGGGCCGAGGGTCAGCTCTGCGGCCTCAGCCACGCTCTTCACACAGCCATTCTGCTGGGTTGCCACAATCTCCTGGAGGCTGACAGGCTTGGTCTCACAGGGCAGCAGTTTCTGGGGAGAGGAAACAGGTCTTGGCAGCAGCAGGAGGGACTGAGGTTAGACAGTAGGGAGGACTAGACAAGCAAAGGGCTGGGGACAGTCTGGTTTTCCTACAGACAGGCTGTGAGAGCTTGCATAGGGCCTCTCTGGGCTCCAGTTCCAAGTTGTCCTGCCTCCTGGGACTGTCTTAGTAGAGGAGGCACCTGCCCCCTGGGGTCCAGTGTGGGAGTGGGCAGCACCCCTGCCTGAGCCTTAGCGTCCTCCCCACGGAGTGGGACAGCCGCTACACGTGGTTATTGAAGGAGCCCTGAGGACCATGAAGCTCCCAGCAGACATGTGAACATGGCCTTGTTGTCAACAGGACACTAGGGTATAGCTCCCTGAGGATGCTGACTGTGTTCACCACCAGCCATGGTAGATGTTCAACAATCAGCTATTAGAGGAATCTGTCACCTGGGTGCCTGTGAGGAGACCAAGGTGTGGAGGGATTGGTGGAAGGCTGCCCAGCTGGTGGGTAGCTGATGTGCTGCCCTGCCTACCACTCCTGGCTTCACCCTTGGGCCTTTGGGCAGCCTGGCTGGAGGGAGACGGTGTGCTCACCTCGGTGCCCGTGTCCTGAGCGAAGTCTTTTCGGCAGACATGAGCCATGATCCCGGCAGCCAGTGCATCACCCAGCACATTAATCATGGTGCGGAAACGGTCCCTGGTGGGCCAAGGTGAGCGGTGAGCGGCAGGCCCTCTGTTGTAAGGGGATATGGGAGAGGGCGGTGCTCACGGGACGGGTGCCTTCCTGGTCCTCCTGGCCCAGCACCCCCTGGCGGTGCTGAAGTGGGTGATGAAGGCATGTGACTGTGTGGTGCCTCAGGGCCTGTGTGTCAAAGGGCTTGGGCTAATGCTCTGCTCCCCCGCTCCTGAAATTCTTTGTAGTTTTTGAACAAGGGATCCTAGGTTTTCACTTTTGAAAACCGGGCTCCACAAGCCATTCAGCTGGGCAGGTGTCAATGAGTACCCAATCTGCCAAACTATGGCAGCTCCCCGGTCCACTGTGAGTGCCTGCCTCCCAGGGGACAGGAGAGGGTGGGGGGAACCCCACTCACAGAGCCCAGTCGACAGCGATGATGAGGGTGATGTCATCGGTGGGAAGCCCCACGGAGGTGAGCACGATGACCATGGTGACGAGCCCGGCCTGGGGGATGCCGGCTGCCCCGATGCTGGCTGCGGTGGCCGTGATGCTGCGGGAGAGGGTAGGGAGCGTTGCTGGGCCCTGAGCCCAAGGAGGAGGCCAGAATGCCAGAGCCTCTGGGGACAGCATTGTGGAGCAGGCATTGTTAGGAATGCCACAGCAGAGCATTCTTGGGGCAGGGGCATGCCTCTGCCCAAGGTCCTGTGGTCCCAGAGGCTCAGCAGAACATCCTAAGAAGTCTGTGGAAAAGCCCTGTGTCTGGGTTTGATCCCTGGGTCAGGAAAATCCCCTGGAGGAGGGCATGGCAACCCACTCCAGTATTCTTGCCTGGAGAATCCCATGGATAGAGGAGCCTGGCGGGCTACAGTCGCTGTAGGATTCCAGGAAGTTGTCCACAGGTCCCCATCATCCTCTGGCACTGGGTCCCCAGGGTGAGACTTGCACCCTTAGGCTGGCTTGTGAGGCCTTCCCCTTCACCTCTGTCCTCACTTAGCACCTTCCCCCAGCTCCAGCCACACCAGCAGCCCCTCCACTGTCCTCAGTCCCGCCTCTGGCCTCTGCTTGCCCTGTGCCTGCCTATGTATGTCCCCACTGCAGGCCCTCCTCTGGGCCCTAGCTTCCCAGGTTGCTCAGAGCTCCCTATCTGCAGGGCTGCACTGGGGAAGGAGCCTGGTGCCCTGAATCATGAGACCCCAGCACTGACTTGCTATGTGACCTGGAATGAGCCCCTTGCCCTCTCTGGACCTCAGAGACCACATGAGATATGGGAGCTCAAGACTCCCGAAAGCCCTTCCAGAGCAGCCGTCCCCAATCCACACCGGGTGCAGGGTGTCAGGAGCACACCTGATGGTGATGATCTGGCCGAAGTCCAGCTCATAGTTGTTGACCTGGGCAATGAAGATGGCAGCCACGGCCTCGTAGAGTGCGGTGCCATCCATGTTGATGGTGGCGCCCACGGGCAGCACGAAGCGGGCAATGCGCCGGTCGATGTGGTTGTTCTCCAGCAGGCACTTAAAGGTGATGGGCAGTGTGGCTGAGCTGTGGATAGAAGGGCCAGTGTCTGCTCATCACCCTCCTCCAGGATGGTCAGGGCCCCCAGGTTGGCAGCTGGTCAGTAACAGAAGCTCCCCCTGCCCCCAGTGCCAGGCAGCTGGCCCATCTAGGGTGGAGAACAGACTGAAGGGGCTTTTAAATGGTCATGGGGCCAGACTTTCCCAGGTTCAGGACCTTAGAGACCCCCTGGGCACACTGGTCAGGAAGGGAGTGCCCACCAGCAGAGCACCTACTATGTGCCAGGTGCTGTGCTTTACACCTCATGGCTTCCTGCTAGGAAGGTTTGGAGCTCCTTTAACAGGTGAAGAAATGAAGCCCAGAGGGGAGGAGGGGCTGACGCCACGTCAAACGACCAACCATGCAAAGTAGAGATGAAGTGGTCAGCAGCAGGGCTCTGGGTAGGAGCACTGGCTTCAGATTCCAGCTTCCCACTAACTTAGTGGCCTTGGCCCTTCCTCAACCTGTACATGCCATAGTTTCCTTGTCCCAAACAATCGGTACACTATGGAGCTATTAGGAGGATTCAACAAGAGATTGCTTAGAATAGCGTCTACATATTGTAGGTGGCCTCCCTGGTGGTTCAGGCTTCCCTTGTGGCTCAGCTGGTAAAGAATCTACCTGCAAGGTGGTAGACCTAGATTCGAACCCTGGGTTGGGAAGATCCCTTGAAGAAGGGAAAGGCTACCCACTCCAGTATTCTGGCCCAGAGGATTCCATAGACTGCATAGTCCATGGGGTCACAAATAGTCGGACATGACTGAGCGACTTTCACTTCACTTCCCTGGTGGTTCAGACAGTAAATAATTTGCCTGCAATTCAGGAGACCCAGGTTCGATCCCATCCCCTTGAGGAGGGTGTGGCAACCCACTCCAGTATTCTTGCCTGGAGAATTCCGTGAACAGAGGAGTCTGGCGGGCTACAGTCCATAGGATCACAGAGAGTCGGACACGATTTAGCGACGTGGCAAGCACCCATCGTAGGTACTCAACCAATGGTGGCCCTTGCTCTTGTAGCTGCGTTGTTTCTGAGCTCCCAGTAGCAGTGCTGGGCCTGAAATTCAGGTTTGCGTAGCCCCACAGTCCTTACTCCCCCACAGGTCACTGCCTGGGAGGCCCAGGTACACTTACCAGAGCCCCTCATGGGCCCCAGGCATGCTGGGCCCGAGGCTGTGGTTCCTGCTAACAGGAAACAGCGAGGGCTGCCGGTGCTGGTAGGGCTTCACCAGTGACATGGGGGCCAGCAGCTGCTTGGGGATTCATCCTTCCCTCTCGCCTCCTCCCTCTGCCCTGGCTGGGGTTCCCAGACAGGCTTCTAGGACTTTTCCTCACTGGTTCTGCTCCTCCTGAGTCCTGCATGAGGTGCTTCTGCTGCCAAGGGGCAGGTTATGTGGCTGCTGGGGAAGGAGGTCTGTGGTGGCCCTTATTCCCATTTTACAGACCGGGAGACTGAGGCCTAGGGAAGAGAAGGCAGTGAGGGATGGACGGAAGAGCCAGGCCTTTGAGGCCAGAGACATGGGCTTAAGTTTAGGAGACTTCCTCCATGTAGAGCTTGGACACTCACTGTGGGGAGAACCACTCTTTCTTCACAGGGTTAGATGCCCAGTAACTGACTGCCTCCTTCCCTTCTCCTCACTCAACAGCAGAGTTTGCATGACTTCATCTCCCTGGGTCTTCTGCACTCAGCTGCGGTCTGGGATGCTTGAGGTCAGGTGTTGCTTCACCAAGCCCAGAATGGCCTTAGTGGGTTATCTCCACTAATCACACAGCAACTCTACATGCCAGAGGCCACAGTGATCCCCGGTCTGTACATGAGGAAACTAATCCCACCACCCAGGGAGGTGGAGTGACTTGCCCGCAGTCACAGAGCTAGTGGGTAATGGAATCATGACTCAAATTCCCACTGTCTAGAGACACTGCCAGCGCTGTGACAGGGCTACCTGCCAGTGACAGTAAACAGGCAAAGTCCCTGAAGAGCAGAGGGCCTGGCTCCAACAGAAGCACCTCGTGGCCATGAAAGGCAGCAGAGACTGCAGACTCATCACTCTTCAGCTCTGCCGGCCCCTGACACGTGGACGCCAACCCCCATGTGGACTGGGGGAACACTGGGGATGTGGAGGAGGGCTTGCTGCCATTTGGGAAGGTAGGGGCTCAAGCATTTCAAGAATAGGTCTTGTTAGCAAATCCTCCCCCAAGTTTGTGAAGTAGGTCACATGGACACGTTCCATGGTTCCATGGCTACAGACAAATGATGGCTGGACAGAAGGATAGCTTTCAGCCATGGTCTCTTCCCTGACACTTTCACTGCCCAGGGCTACCTGGAGGAGGTGGCCAGTGCGATGAGCAGGGCCTGGAGGATGCCGCGGATGAAGACGATGGGGTTCTTTTTGGTGATGAAGAAGTAGAGCAGGGGCAGGATGAAGAGGCCATGGACCACCAGCCCACACACCACGGTGACTGCATAGAAGCCCAGCTTCTTTCCTACGGTTGTGGGGTTGTCCATCTCCAGGATCTTGCCAGCGATGAGGAACACGATGCCAAAGGGGAAGTACCTGAGGTGGGCAGGGCAGCCGGCTTAGCACCAGGCAGGCAAAGACCGTGGGAGGTCCCAGGCACTGTATCACTGCTGGGCCTGACTACCCTGAGCCTTCCAGGACTCTTATGAGGATAGAATGTGACTATGTACCCAAGTACCTGGCATATGATGTCACTAATGCCCCCTTAACCAGTCCAGCCATGCAGTCTTTACCCTCTGCCTTCCTCTGCAGTTCCACATTTCAGCCCAGCAATGAGACAGTCTCTATGGCTGACTTTGGCAGGCCTCTGCCTTTCCTTATCTCACTGTGCCGGGTCAGACTAGAAGATTCCTAAGGTCTGAACTCTGAGCCAAGGAGTGGCAGCTGGTTGTCACTTCCAGTGTCTCCTTCCTCCAAAAGCTGAGCTAATGAGGCCCCAAGAGATGGGGAAACAGAGGTCAGGACCAGGCTGATTAGCTCTTGATTTGCCTCCAATGGGCCTGATGGGGCCAGAAATGGCAGGCCCAGGGCTAGAACTTGGCCTGGTCAGGGCTGGGGGTATCCTCCTGTGCCCAGCTTTCTGCTCATTCCTTTGGGACCACGGGGTCCCCCCAGCTGCCTAGGGCAGGGCTGAAACGGGGCTGAGTGCGTAGGAGTCTGCCCTTGACCCCCACGACGAGGCTCACCACACAGCCACGGCCACGATCTTCATGACGGACTCATTGAGGCACTGGCAGAAGCTGACCAGCGGGGCCCCGCTGTCACCCATGCGGCCCAGCATGATGCCTGCGGGGGGCAGGGACACAGCAAATGACAGATCTGGCAGAGGGAGGCAGACCGCATGACACCTATGTGAGCCAACACATGCTGTGGCCAGGCACGGACAGACCACGGGCACACACAGATCTCAGCGCCTGGTGGACTGCCCAGCAGCCTCTGCCACCCAGCGCTTCCCCCCTACTTCCCCTCCCTTCCCGGCCTCCCTGCTGGAGAGGGCTGTGACCTTCCCACAGTGCTTCTATCTCTTCCTCCTCTCCACCCAGCAGCATGTGCCACCTTCTAAAGATAAAAATGCTCCCTGCCAACACCCCCAACTGACTTTCCTGCACACAGACCATAACTAACACCCCACCCCTCCCACCCTGGTTCAGGCCCCACTTGACCTGGCCGTGTCTCTAACTCCCGCCTCTGTCTGGCCCTGCTTTCCCTTCCTCACTCACTCCTTCTTCACGTTTCTAGACTACATCAAGCTCTTGGCTGTGGTGGGGCCTTTGTCCATTCAGTTCCTGATGCCTGAAGCCCTAGCCTGGAGGCCTGCCCCCCCCAACTCCCCCTTGGCAGACTCCCCATTTATTCTTTCACCCATCTCTTTCTGATCCCCTCATATCACTTATTACAACACTCATCTGTTGTACTGTTCTGTCTCCTCCAATAGAAAGTTAACCCATGAAGGCAACTTATCATTGAATGAATGAATGAACAAGGGAATGAATGATGAAGCTTCTTCCGAAGCCCCTGTTACCCTCCCCTTGGGGTTCTGAGCTCATGCAGGTAACCACAGTTAGGTCACTCCTGGAACAGTGACAAGCAACTGCTCTCCCACTGGTGACACAAGAACATAATACACTCTGTATCTGCCTTCACGGAGCTTACTGTTGCCGTGTCCAAGAGGTTCATCTACTGACTCAGCCGGTGAGGGGCAGGATCCGAATCCTGGCCTCTGGGACCCTAGAGAGTTCTTTCCCTGCCCGGGATGCCCCGAACCCATGCTGAACGGGGAGCAGCTACCACAGGGAAGGGGAGTGGAGGGGTCCTGCTGGGGTGGGCAGGAGAGGCCAGAGAGGCAGGTGACACTGGGCCCAGCTCTGTCCATCTGGCCTGCGGAAGCCTGGCTGAACTCAGAGCCAGGTTCCCAGCTACTCCTGCTCCTCATCAAGCTCCCTGTTCCACCCACAGGCTCTGGTTGGCTTAGAGCAACTGTACATGGGATGCGTAGGATGGCAGTGGCTTCCTCCCACAAGCAAGGCCAATGCCACCTTAGCATCAGCCTCATCCCAACACTGGGGAGAAGACGGGGAAGGAGGCTGCAGTGAGGGGGGCAGCTGTGCAGGTGTGCTCACTCACACTCAGGTGGGGGTACACAGAGACGTCGGCACGGCTAGAGTTGAGGACAGACGAAAAATAGTCACTGGCACGTGGACAGTGACATGTGCTCAGTAAACAGTGAAATGAAGTAAAGGGTCTCCAAGTTTTCTTTGGATCTGCTAATAGATGTCCTTTTTGTGTGTTCCCAGTCCTAAGAGAGCGGTGATGGCTGGGGAAGAGGAAGCAAATCCAGGGCGGGGGGAAGGGTTATCAGATGTGCTGAGGATGCTTCCTAACACCGTCCTCCCATACTCTGGGGTCTCTGAGGTGCTGGCCCCTCTGTGTGCCTGCCTGGTCTTTCGACCAGGATGAAAAGAGCTCCATTAACCACTGTCATTCATCTGCCCGTCTACCCATCTTTCCCAGAAGTTCACCTACCAAGCACCTGCTCTAACCAGTCACATGGTGGCCGTGGGGCTACATGGAGACCAAGACCTGTCTCTGCCTGCATGGATACACAGCTGCCACGCAGGCATTAAACAGCCACGCTAACAAGTAGGCAGCTGTATTAGATCAAACATTTAGGGAGTAACACAGGGCACCTAACAGTCTAACCTGACTGTTAGACTCTTCCCCAGGATGGGACGCTTATACTGAGCTCCCTCAGGGATGAGAAAAGTGTAGCGGAGAGGGAGCGGCAGGAGCAGCCTGGCCGAGGGAGGCGCCTTCCAGGAAACGACAGGCTGGGGAAGTGAGCGGCCAAGAGCAGCAGCCTGGCCTGAGCTCCCAGGCTCTGTGGGTCGTGTGGTGTTTGGAGCCCTCTCCGAGGACAGTGGGGCCAGTGGAGGCTTTACATGGGGACTCGACGACCCTGTGAGGAGGACACACAAGGACAGGGGGCTCTTGGGCAGTTTTTCCAGAAACCAGGTGAGAGATGAAGACGGCCTTGGCTGGGTCAGTGGGCAGAAGGAAACGCAGAGGCTGGAGAGACTTCAGAGGCAGACCTGGTGGGATCTGGGCATGAGCTAAAGCAGAGGGCAAAGTATAAAGTAACCCCAAGTTCCTGCCTAAGAGACCAAAAAGACAGGAGAATTTCCACTTGAGAAGCAAACCTGTGTAGGAGTTGGAAGCTGGAGAGCCCTCCACTAGGCCCAGGGCTGAGGCAGTGTGGGGAAGGGGCTGATAGGATTTTATAGTGAGGCTCCTGGTGACTCTTGGCATGACCTAGAAAGACGAGGTGTGACTGACAAGCTAGATTGTTGTGGAGGGGTTAGGAATTCCTAGACTCTAAAAAAGGAAGAGGACTTCACTGGTAGCTCAGTTGGTAAAGAATCTGCCTGCAATGCAGGAGATGCGGGTTCAACCCTTGGTTGGAAATATCCCCTGGAAAAGGAAATGGCAACCCACTCCAGCAATCTCGCCTGGAAAACTCCATGGACAAAGCAGCCTCGTGGGCTACAGTCCTTGGGGTGGCAAGAGCTGGACACGACTTAGTGACAAACCACCGCTACCAAAGAAGGAAGAAGGCTGTGTGCATATGTCGGTGGGGGTGTCAAGGGAGGGATGCTGCAGGCAGAGGCATATCCAGAGATTTTGTAGGATCTGAAGCTTGCACAGTTTGGAGCCTTCTTCAAGAAAAAGAATATAAAATTTTAAAAAGGAAAAAGGATACAGGCCTTAGAAGGGACCTGTGCAAGTTAAACATCACCAGCTTCATGGTAAGTAGACTGTGGTGGGCCTTGGAGACCCAGCAAAGGAAAGGGTATGGTCACGGGCCCCCAGAAATGGCACAGACAGGTCTGCAGAGAGAGGTGGCTACTGAGAAAGCCCTGTGGTTGAGGGTGGAAGGGAAGAATGAGGGCTTTAAACAAATAGCTGCTGGCAAGGTTAGAGGCATGGCCTTCTCAGAGGGAGGACCAACACTCCTGGAGGCAAATAGCACCCAGGGACGGGGAAGTCCCAGGGAGGAACAGCAGCTCCAACTCGGAGAGGGCTAGGGACAACCCCTTGCCCCTGGGTAATGGAATAGGGACTTGAGTCACTCCCTCGGAAAAGGAAAGGAAGGAACCTCCTGGAAGATGGGGAGGCTCCAGGCTATTCAGGTTACTGGACACGGGATGTAGGGAGGGGTAAATGCAAGGAGGGCCAGGCTCCAGAGCTTCCCGGGGTGGTGGGCAGCACATACCCATGGTGGCAGAGAAGATGACGATGCCCAGCACGTTCATGCCATCGCTGGTGCCAGGCTCTGACTTGTAAACGACCTCTGGTGGGGGTGTCAGGTCCAGGGCGAAGTTCTGCACATGAGAGCCATTCTCCTCCTGGACCCCATAGATGAGGATCCGCCGAGAAGGGGCCTCCTCTGATGCCACCTTGGGGGACTTGACAACGGGGGTGGTCTTGGTGCGATACTGGTGGGCAAAACCCCAACCAGGAATGAGTCAGGACCAAGCGTAATATCAACAACAATAATAAGAACATCTTGAAAGTACATCTGTATCCACTCATGAACTACATGATTGACAGTAACCCTGTGACATAGGCACGACAGGGGTTATTATCAATATTTTACTAAAAAACAAAACTGAGATTTGTTCGGTCATCCACACACTAACCGGGCACACCTCCCTCCATCCCTCCTCCCCTCTTCTTTCTGTGCATCATTACACCTACCTGTGATAAGTCACTTCAGTCATACCCAACTCTGTGAGACCCTGTGGACTGTAGCCCGCCAGGCTCCTCTGACCATGGAATTCTCCAGGCAAGAATAGTGCAGCGGGTTGCCATGCCCTTCTCCAGGGGATCTTCCCAAACCCAGGGATTAAATCTCTTGCATTGACGTTCTTTACCACTAGCGCCACTTGGCTGGGACCCTCTCTAACCATCCATCCATCTCCTACACAGATAATCTACCTGGATAATCCTCCATTCACCCGTTTATCCTCTTTCAGCAATCCACTGTCCATCTGCCTAACAGCCAGCCAGCCCTGCCTTCCACTGAAGGAAACTTGGACCTTCTGTTAGGAAAGCTTAGTTTGCCCCAAGCTTTCTTGATGAGATGAGATGCCAGCTGGGGAGAACTGAGTGACTGAGCCACCTACCTCTCTTCCTCAGTCCCCAGGACATTTCTAAGTCTTTTCTTCTCATTCCTCAGGTCCTATGAGCACAAACAAGGGCTCCTATCTTCCTAACACCAAGTATCAATAAAGCAAAATTTCTGGGGGTGGGTGGAGAAAAGGAACCACTCAGGAAATAGACATAAAATTTCAATGCTTCAGTTCCCTCATCTGTAAAGTGGGGTCTTAATAGTTACTTACCTCATTAGGTTAAATGAGATGATATATGTAAAGTGCTGGCAGTAGTGCCTGGCACATGGTAAGCCTTTGTAACCATTACTGCCATTATCACTACCACCACCATCACCATTATAACCACCATCATCATCCCAGTGTTGAACACTCTGTGCCAGGTGCTGATTCTTGAAGGATGGGCAGGAGTTTGCCAAAAGATAAAGGGCATTCCAGATGCAGTAGAAAGTAGAGCAATGTTCTCTTTCTGTCTCACGTCTTCAGTAATTGCCCATCACTGTTGGAATAATATCCAAACTCCCTAGCCTAGCATTCAGGGCCCTCCACTACTTGGCTCATTTCATAGATGAAGACATAAGAGGTTAGGGAAGATACAATGATTAGCTCAAGCTTTCACAGCTCCTTATTTTGGAGCCCTCCTCCATCTCTCAACCACCTCTCGTCTGTCTCCAGGCTCAATACAGGGCCCACCACAGGGAAGATCAGGAAATGCTTGTTGGACTGAGTCAACCAACAGACTGACATTTTAGAAGGGAAATTATTAGAAGTGCACATCAAGATTGGTGTACAGGGTTGTTGGAAACTGACCCTGAATATTCATAAGCTCCAATTCTTTAGCCACTTGATGTGAAGAGCCAACTCACTGGAAAAGACCCTGATACTGGGAAAGACTGAAGGCAGAAGGAAAAGGAGGCAGCAGAAGATAAGATGGTTAGATAGCATCACTAACTCAGTGACGTAAATTTGAGTGAACTCTGGGAGATAGTGGAGGACAGAGGAGCCTGGTGTGTTACACTCCATGGGGTACAGAGTCAGACATTACTTAGCAACTGAATAACAGCAAGGCTGTTTTGGTAAACAACCAAAAGGAGAAATAGGTAAATAAATTACAGCCTAGACTTACATCAGGCTGTGACATCATCACTAAGCATTGTATTTTTTGTTGTTGTTCAGTTGCTCAGTCCTGTCTGACTCTTTGTGACTCCATGGACTGCAGCACACCAGGCTTCCCTGTCCTTCACCATCTCCCGGAGCTTGCTCAAACTCATGTCCTTTGAGTCAGTGATGCCATCCAACCATCTCCTCTTCTGTCTCACTTCTCCTCCTGCCTTCAATCTTTCCAAGCATCAGGGTCTTTTCCAATGAGTCGGCTCTTCCCATCAGGTGGACAAAGTATTGGAACTTCAGCTTCAGCATCAGTCCTACCAGTGAATATTCAGGATTGATTTCCTTTAGGATTGACTGGTTTGATCTCCTTGAAGTTCAAGGGATTCTCAAAAGTCTTCTCCAACATCACAGCTTGAAAGCATCAATTCTTCAGCATTCAGCCTTCTTTATGGTCCAACTCTCACATCCGTACATGACTTGTATTTTTAAGAAACATTAATAACCATGTAAAGTGCTCATGATATAATGGGAGTGGGGGAAAAAAAGCAAGATGCACACTGTGTGTGTACTATGATCCTAATTTTATTTTTAAAAACATTTCTGCAGAGAAAAAAAGACTAGAAGCATAACTTCTACTATCACTATTGCTAGGTCCTGGAACTACAAGTGATTTTTATCCTCTGCTTTGGGCCTCCCTGCAATGCAGAAGACCCCAGTTTGATCAGACCCCAGGAAGATCCCCTGGAAAAAGGATAGGCTATCCACACCAGTATTCTTGGGCTTCCCTTGTGGCTTAGATAGTAAAGAATCTGCCTGCAATGCAGGAGACATGGGTTCAACCCCTAGGTTGGGAAGATCCCCTGGAAAAGGGAACAGCTACCCACTTCAGTATTCTGGCCTACAGAATTCCATGGACAGAGGAACCTGGCAGGCTACAGTCCATGGGGTCGCAAAGAGTCAGACACAACTGAATGAATTTCACTTATTTATTGTAATATTTCCCTAATACTTGACAGTGAGTGTTATTACTGTTTTTATTAGGAGGAAAGGATTATTTTAAAAAGAAAGAGAAAACAGGCTTTGATGCCAACAGGCCTGGGTTCGCCTACTAGTTCTGCCATTTACTAGTGATTTAACCTTGGGCAAATCCTTTAACCCTTCTGAGTCTCAGTTTCCTCATCCAGGAGCTGTTCTGGTCCTAGCCCAGGGTAGGGTTATTGTGAGGACTGAGCGAGATCCTGTGCGTGAGCATGGGCGTGATCGAGGGTGGAGCCGGCACTCAGTGGAGGCTTCCTTCTCCCCTCATAATTCTTCCTTGTGAAAAGTCAGAACCCAGGGCAGGGGTACGGCCACAGGAGGCTCTAAAGATCTAGGTCCTCCCCCCGCTCCTCCCCTGTAGCCTCCCACCCCCAGAGACAGGGAGACTGACCAGCCGAGCCGGGCCCAGGGTGGCCCTGCCTGCCCACCCTCCATCGCCCAGGGACCCACTCACCTGTTTGAATGTGGCTTCCACCAGGTTGGCTGGGAACATGTTCCTGGGAAGAGAGTCAATAATTGAAGAATTCCAGGACAGGAGGGCCCTTGAGGTCACCTGAATACCTCCTTTGGCAGTGGAGGCCTTCCATAACTCCGCCCCACCTGCCCCTGCAGTTTTACCTCTTCCCACCACTCCCATCTCAGGAGTTCAGATTTCAACACCAACTGCATATGCTTCCCAAAATATGCTGCATGCGTTTCCAATTCCAGGCCTTTGACTGCTGTTCCTTCTGCCTGAAATGCCCTGCCTACTTCTCTGGCTGATTCCTATACCAGTCAAGCAGAGACCAAACCTTTTGCAACTGCTCCAGACAGATTCCTTGGCCCTTCCCCTATAGCTACCTAAGCTCCAGCATGCTGCTTGTGGCACTAGTCAGGTGTCTGCCTCCCCATTGACTGGCCTCCTTGAAGGGGGTACTTGATCATTCGTATCTTATCTGTGGCTCCCAAAACAGAACCTGGCATATAAATAGGATCATTATTCTTATTAACATAACCTTTATCTTCTAAAGCAGGAGGGGGTCCTGTCCTACCAGATGTGAAAACATACTATAAATATGCAACTCTCAAAACAGTGAGATACTGACAGCCATCAGCAGAAAAATCAATGTAACGGAACCTGTACCTGGAGACAGAACCTGGGACATCTAAATATTTCATATTTGATAGAAGTTGCTTCACAAATCAGTGAAGAAAGGAAGGACCCATTCTGGAGAACTGCAGAGCTGACCAACGATTCAGAAAAATAAACACTAGATCTTGGAACTTCCCTGGTGGTCCAGTGGTTGGGAGTTTGCTTTCCAGTGCAAGGGGTACATCAAAGCTGTATATTGTCACCTTGTTTATTTAATTTATATGCAGAATATATTATGCAAAATGCCAGGCTGGATGAATCACAAGCTGGAATCAAGATTGCCAGGAGAAATATCAACAACCTCAGATATGCAGATGATAACACTCTAACGGCAGAAAGAGGAGAGGAACTAAAGAGACTCTTGATGAAGGTGAAAGAGGAGAGTGAAAAATCTGGCTTAAAACTCAACATTCAAGAAACTAAGATCAAGACATCTGGTTTCATCACTTCATGGCAAATAGATGGAAAAAAGTGGAAACAGTGACAGATTTTATTTTGTTGGGCAGTGATCTCAAAATCACTGTGGATGGTGACTGTGGATGAAATTAAAAGACCTGGAAAGAATGCTTTGACAAACCTAGACAGTGTATTAAAAAGCAGAGACATCACTCTGCTGACAAAGGTCTGTCTAGTCAAAGCTATGGTTTTTCCAGTAGTCATATATGGATGTGAGAGTTGGATCATAAAGAAGGCCTAGCGCTGAAGAATTTATGCTTTTGAACTATGGTGTTAGACAAGACTTTTGAGAGTCCCTTGGACTGCAAGGAGATCAAACCAGTCAATCCTAGAGGAAATCAACCCTGAATATTCATTGAAGGGACTGATGCTGAAGTTGAAACTCCAATATTTTGGTCACCTGATGTGAAGAGCTGATTCACTGGAAAAGACTCTGATGCTGAGAAAGATTGAGGGCAAGAGGAGAAGAAGGTGACAGAGGATGAGATGGTTGGATGGCATCACAACTGAATGGACATGAATTTGAGCAAACTTTGGGAGACAGTTTGAAAGCAGGGAAGCCTGGTGTGCTGCAGTCCATGGGGTTGCAAACAGTCAGACAACCCTTAGCGACTGAACAACAACAGCATGGATTGCAAGTTCAATCCCTGGTTGGGTGCTAGGATCCCATGCATCTCACAGTCAAAAAATCAAAACATGAAACAGAAGCGATATTGTAACAAATTCAATAAAGACTTTAAAAATGGTCCCCTTAAAAAAAAAACTTTAAAAATAAACCCTAGATCTTTATGTTGTTGTTTTAGTTTAGTCACTAAGTCATGTCGGATTCTTCGCGACCCCAATGGAGCCCACAAGGCTTCTCTGTCCATGGGATTTTCCAGACAAGAACACTGGAATGAGTTGCCATTTCCTTATCCAGGGGATCTTTGCAACCCAGGATCAAACCTGTGTCTCCTGCTTGGCAGGCAGATTCTTTACCACTGAGCCACTTGGGAAGCCCTAGATCTTTACATACACTGCACCAGAATAAATCCCAGATGGCTGAAAGAAATAAATAATTTAGAAAATAAAACCATAAATATCTAGAAAAAATACAGATTAATATTTTACCAGATCTCAGGATGTGGAAGGACTTCTAAGAACAGAATGAGCAATTAAAATAAATCAATAGATTTTACTTCATTAAAACTAAGAACTTCCTAAGTGCAGCTTAGTATCCTGGGTTGGATTCTGGAACAGAAAAGTAGGACACTAGTGGAAAAACTGGTGAAATCCAATGAAGCAATTTAGTTAATACTGTTGTACTAATTTCATGTCTTACTTTTGACAAATGTGCTAGATGTAGGTTACTAACATCAGGGGAAGTTGAGCAGAGCTGGGAACTCTCTGTACTCTGCAACTTTTCTATAAACCTAAAATCATGCCAAAATCAAAAGCTAAAAAATTAAGAAGCTCTTTAAGACAGATTAAAATACAAATAAAATAATAAAGCAAACAAACTGGGGAAGCTATACAACAAAGTGTTACCATCTTCAATCTTTAAAGAGTTTTTACAAATCTTGGCCTTGCTTCCATGTTCACTCTCTGTGTTTTCTCGCCGGAACATCAGCTCCCCGGAGGGTGGGATCTCTGTTTTGTTCTCTGCTATGTCCCTAGCTCCTGGAAGAGTGCCCAATGCATAACAGGCACTCAGCAAATATTTGCTGCATAAATAAATGGACCACAAAAACATGAATACCTCAATAGAAAAATGATCCCCTTCATGGATCACAGACTTGTCATGGCAAAAGGGTTTGCATAACTCTATGAAGCTCTGAGCCACGCTGTGTAGGGCCACTAAGATGGACGGGTCATAGTGCAGTTCTGACAAAACATGGTCCACTGGAGGACGCAATGGCAAACCACTCCAGTATTTCTGATGTGAGACCCCTATGAAGAGTATGAAAAAGCAAAAAGATATGACACTGGAAGATGAGCCCTTCAGGTTGGAAGTTGTCCAAGGGAGAAGTGGAGAACAATTACTATATAGCTCCAGGAAGAAAGAAGCAGGTGGGTCAAAGCAGAAACAACACTCAGTTGTGGGTATGTTTGGTGGTGAAATTAAAGTCTGATGCTATAAAGAGCAATATTGCATAGGAACCTGGGATGTTAGGTCCATGAATCAAGGTAAATTGGACATGGTCAATCTTCCAAACAGGAGATGGAAAGAGTAAACATCGACATCTTAGGAGTCAGTGAACTAAAATGGATGGAAATGGGTGAATTTAATTCGGATGACCATTATATCTACTATGGTGGGCAAGAATCTCTTAGAAGAAATGAAGTAGCCCTGATAATCAACAAAAGAAGAAGTTCCGAAGCACTTTCCAAAGCTAAATTTGCACACAAACCAAGGTCATAGTCACTGTTTGGTGGTCTGCTGCCCATCTTATCCACTACAGCTTTCTGAATCCTGGAGAAACAATTACATCTGATAAGTATGCTCAACAAATCAATGAGACGCACTGAAAACTGCAGTGCCTGCAACCAGCATTGATCAACAGAATGGGCCCAATTCTTCTCCATGGTAATGCCTGACTGCAAATCACACAACCAATGCTTCAAAAGTTGGATGAGTTGGGCTACAAAGTTTTGCCTCATCTGCCATATTCACCTAACCTCTTGCCAACTGATTATCACTTCTTCAAGCATCTCAACAAATTTTTGCAGGGAAAATGCTTCCACAACCAGCAGGAGGCAGAAAATGCTTCCCAACAGTTCATTGACTTCTGAAGCACAGATTTTTACACTACAGGAACAAACCTATTTCTCATTGGCAAAAATGTGTTGATTGTAATGGTTCCTATTTTAATTAACAAAGATGTGTTTGAGCCTAGTTATAATGGTTTAAAATTCACAGTCTGAAACCACAGTTATTTTTGTACCAACCTAATAGAACTAACACCAAAAAAAGATGTCCTTTTCATTGAAGGGGTTTGGAATGCAAAAGTAGGAAGTCAAGAGATACCTGGAATAATAGACAAGTTTGGCTTTGGAGTGCAAAATGAAGCCGGGCAAAGGCTAACAGAGTTTTGTCAAGAGAACATGTTGGTCATAGCAAACACCCTTTTCCAACTACACAAGAGATGACTCTACACATGGACATCACCAGATGGTCAACATCAAAATTAAATTGATTATGTTCTTTGCAACTGAAGATGAAGAAGCTCTATACAGTCAGCAAAAACAAGACCTGGAGCTGACTGTTGCTCAGATTATGAGCTCCTTATTGAAAAATTGAGGCTTAAGTTGAAGAAAATAGGGAAAACCACTAAGCCATTCAGATATGACCTGAATCAAATCCCTTATGATTATACAGTAGAGGTGATGAATATATTAAAGGGATTAGATCTGGTAGACTGCTTGAAGAACTGTGGCCCAAGGTTCACAATATTGTACAGGAGGCAATGACCAAAACCATACCAAAAACAAAAAAATGCAAGAAGGCGAACTGGTTGAGGAGGCCTTACAAAAAGCTGAGAAAAGAGAAGCAAAAGGCAAGGGAGAAGGGAAAGATTTACCCAATTGAATGCAGAGTTCTGGACAATAGCAAGGAGAGTCAAGAAAGCCTTCTTAAGTGAACAATGCAAAGAAATAGAGGAAAACAATAGAATGGGAAAGACTAGAGTTCTCTTCAAGAAAACTGGATATACCAAGAGAACATTTCATTCAAGTATGGGCATGATAAAGGACAGAAAGGTAAGGATCTAACAGAAGCAGAAGAGAGTAAGAGAAGGTGGCAAGAATACACAAAAGAACTATACAAAAACAGTCTTAATGACCTAGATAACCACAATGGTGTGATCACTCACCCACAGCTAGATATCCTGGAGTGTGAAGTCAAGTGGGCCTTAGGAAGCATTAGAATGA